GACAGAGAGGAGAGAGGGGAGAGAAAGAGAGAGAGGGGGAAGGGAGGAGGAGAGAGAGGAGAGAGGGGGGAAGAGGGAGAGAAGAGAGAGAGAGAGGGACAAGGGGAGAGAGAGAGGAAGGACGGGATTGGCTGTGGTAAAAGAGGAAGAGGAAAGAGAGAAGGAGAAAGAAAAGAGGGGGAAGAGACGGAGAGAGAGGAGAGGGAGAAAAGGAAAGAGGAGGAAGACACAGAGAGGAGAGAGAGAGAAGAGAGAGAGAGAGGAAAAGGGGAGAGGGGGAAGAGAGAGAGGAGGGACGGGATTGGCTGAGCCGGGAGAGAGAGAGAGAGAGAGAGAGAGAGAGAGAGAGAAGAGGAAGGGGAGAGAAAGAGAGAGAGGGGAAGAGAAGAGAGAGAGAGAGAGAGGAGAGAGGGACAAGGGGAGAGAGAGAGGAAGGACGGGATTGGCTGTGGTAAAAGAGAGAAGAGGAAAGAGAAGGAGAAAAGGAAAGAGGAGGAAGAGACAGAGAGAGAGAGAGGGAGAGAGGAGGAAGAGAGAGAAAGGAGAGAAGAGGGAGAGAGAGAGAGGAGGGATGGGATTGGCTGAGCCGGGAGAGAGAGAGAGAGAGAGAGAGAGAAGGAGAGAGGGACAAGGGGAGAGAGAGAGGAAGGACGGGATTGGCTGTGGCAGAAAAGAGAAGAGGAGAGAGAGAGGGAGAGAGAGAGAGAGAAAGAGGGAGAGGAAAGTGAGAGGGAGGAGAGGGAGGAAAGAAGAGGGGGAAGAAAGAGAGAGGAGAGGAGAGAGAGAACAGAAAGGCAAAGGAAAGAGAGGAAAGGTTTAGAAGTGACAGAGAGACAGAAGAGGAGAGAGAGAGAGGAGAGAGAGATGGAAAAGGAAAGAGGAGGAAAGAGACACGCAGAAGAGAGAGAGAAAGAGGGAGAGGAAAGTGAGAGGGCGGAAGAGAGAGAGGAGAGAAAGGAAAGGAGAAAAGGGGGAAGAGATAGAGAGCGTGAGGGGAGAGGGACAGGGGGAGAGAGAGGAAGGACAGGACTGGCTGTGGAAAAAGAGAGAGAGAGAGAGAGAGGGAGAGAGAGAGAGGAGAGAGAGAGAGGAAAAACTAAGAGAGGGAAGAGAGAGGAGAGAGAAAAGGGAGCGATGAGATTGGCTGAAGCAGAAGAAAGAGAGAGAGAGGAGGAGGGGGAGAGAAAGAGAGGGGAGAAGAGAGAGAGGGAAAGAAGGGATGGACGGGATTGGTTGAGACGGAAAAGAGAGAGAGAGAGAGAAAGAGAAGAGAGAGAGAGAGAGAGACAATGCTGAGGAGGAGAGGAGACGAGGAGAGAGGGAAAGAAAGAAAATAGAGAGAAGGGATGAGGAAACAAAGAGAAGGAGTAGGAGAAAGAGCGAGAGAGAGTTAAAGTGTGGGGGGGCAGAGAGAGAGAGAGAAGAGAGGAATAAAAGCAAAAGAGGAGAGAAAGAGAGAGAGAAAGAGAGAGAAAGAGAGAGAGCTGCACTTAAACCTCAACGATCCTTTAATCCAAACAAACGATGCAGGTTTTATGTTTCCTCGTCTTTTATTTCTTCTTTTTTTTATGCATTTCTTCATTTTTTTTTGCCCGTCGCAGCTCAAAACACTCCGCTCCACCTCGTGACATCATCGGGTGGCGCTCTCAGAACTCCCAAGGCGCCGTATCTGATTTTTTGACCGTCTTAAAAAACGAGAAAAATCAGATCGGAACAGTTTTCGTTTCTCTCCAGAGTTCTTCCTCGCTTCCCTTTCCGCGTTCTGGCATGCTAACGGTGCACTTCCTGATCCCCGTGTCGCGGTAAAGCGGCAGGTGAAGGAGACGAGCGACGGTTTTTAGCCCGATTCGAGCCGCTGTCCTCCTCGGAGCGAGCGGACGGAGCTCTCACGCCCTCTGCTGGTCACTTCACGAACACGTTTTTTTTTTTTTTTTTTTTGGACTTTTTCCAGGCAGACGGGATTTTGATTTTGATTCCTGCGAGAAAAGTGACAGAGTGAAGCTTTAATCTGTGTTGAAATGGAAAAACTGAAGTGATTTAAATTTTATCTTGTTCAAAATTGGCTCTTGTGACGTTTAAGTCGTTTTATAAAATGTTGATTTCTCCTCGAAAGTTTAGTCCAAAAGTCCTGTCTAGTCCTGGTTTAGTCCTTGGGTTTTGGTTTAGTCCAGTCTAGTCCGTTTAGTCCTAGAGTCTAGTCCTGGTTTAGTCCTAGTTTAGTCCAAGTCTAGTCCTGGTTTAGTCCAAGTCTAGTCCTGGTTTAGTCCTGGTTTAGTCCAAGTCTAGTCCTGGTTTAGTCCTGGTTTAGTCCAAGTCTAGTCCTGGTTTAGTCCTGGTTTAGTCCAAGTCTAGTCCTGGTTTAGTCCTGGTTTAGTCCTAGTTTAGTCCAAGTCTAGTCCTGGTTTAGTCCTGGTTTAGTCCAAGTCTAGTCCTGGTTTAGTCCTGGTTTAGTCCAAGTCCTGGTTTAGTCCTGGTTTAGTCCTGGTTTAGTCCAAGTCTAGTCCTGGATTAGTCCAAGTCTAGTCCTGGTTTAGTCCTGGTTCAGGTCTGGTTTAGTCCTGGTTTAGTCCAAGTCTAACCCTAGTCTAGTCCTTTTTTGGTCCTAGTTCAGTCCAAGTTTAGTCCTGGTTTAGTCTGGTTTAAGTCCTGGTTTAGTCCTTGTCCAATCCATGTCTACTCCTGGTTTAGTCCAAGTCTAGTCCTGGCCTAGTTCTGGTTCAATTCTGGGCTAGTCCTAGTTTAGTCCAAGTTTAGTCCTGGTTCAGTCCTGGTCTAATCCTGGCCTAGTCCAAGTTTAGTCCCAAGTCTAGTCCTGGTTCAGTCCTGGTTTACTCAGTCCAAGTCTAACCCTGGTCTCGTCCCTGGTCTAGTCCTGGTTTAGTCTGGGTTCAGTCCTGGTTCAGTCGAAGTCTAGTCCTGGTTTAGTCCAAGTCTAACCCTGGTCTAGTTGTGGTTTATGTCTGGTTTAGTTAAATCCTGGTCTAATCCTGGTCTAGTTCTGGTTAAATCCTGGTTTAGTCCTAGTTTAGTCCTGGTTTAGTCCTGGTTTAGTCCTGGTTTAGAGCAGATTGGTCCAAAATAGAGACACTGGGACATTTCTTGTATAAAATTTGGACAAATCAGTGTTTTTTTGTTTAAATCTTCGGGGACACAGACTCAAAACCGGGACTGTCCCAAAGAAATTATTTACACAAACGTTGACGATATTTAAACATAAATTCACCTTTTTTCTTTTTTTATTATTTTGTGTGGCTCCAAAAACAATAATTTAGATCTTTTATTTTCTAATTAACTGAAAATCTCTGTCAAATCAACCACTTTACGCGGTTACACAACAGCGCAAAAATCACGATTAAAACCCGACACGAAAACAGCGCAAATGTCTCCCTCTGCTGGTCGAACCCGCTCACTGCAGCTCCCATTGAAACGTGCGGCATTTTCTCAGCCAATCAGAAGCGAGAGAGCCGAGCGATGCGTTCAAAAGCAAAACGACTTTCCAAAACTTTAAATTTTTTTCCGTTTTTACATCACAATTTATAAAATTCTAGTTTTAATATATTTTCACTAAAACTATCAGATACGTGAAGCTGTCGATAGGCTGAGTTAAAATATTAAATAAGAAAATCTAAAAACAAATTAGAATAAACATTATACATAAACATACGGCTAGCTAAAAATGTGCTAACAACTCAAATGATACGGCGCGAAATCGAGTTTTTCAACAAAATAACACGTTTTTATTTATTTTAAGTTTAGATTTGTTTTTTTAAAGTTTGTGAAGAATTAAAAACTGCGTGTAAAAGGTTAAAAAACGTGAAGGTGTTAAACTTACCGGGCTCTCTGAACGGCGCGCGTGCCTCTGTAGATATAGAACTCTAGAGCTCGTGTTTATACCGCCGCCATCTTGGTACAGGGACTAAAACAGGACTGAACCAGGACTAAGACAGGAATAAACCAGGAATAAACCAGGACTAAACCAGGACTATAACAGGACTAAACCAGGAATAAATCAGGACTAAAACTGGACTGAAACAGGACTAAACCAGGACTAAAACAGGACTAAAACTGAACTAAACCAGGATTAAAACAGGACTGAAATAGAACTAAACCAGGGCTGAAACAGAACTAAACCAGGACTGAAACAGGACTGAAACAGGACTAAACCAGGACTGAAACAGAACTAAACCAGGACTAAACCAGGACTAAAGCAGGACTAAAACAGGACTAAAACTGGACTGAAACAGAACTAAACCAGGACTAAACCAGGACTAAAGCAGGACTAAAACAGGACTAAAACAGGACTGAAACAGAACTAAACCAGGAATAAACCAGGACTAAAGCAGGACTAAAACAGGACTAAAACTGGACTGAAACAGGACTAAACCAGGAATAAACCAGGACTAAAGCAGGACTAAAACAGGACTAAAACTGGACTGAAACAGGACTAAACCAGGACTAAAACTGGACTGAAACAGGACTAAACCAGGACTAAAACAGGACTAAAACTGAACTAAACCAGGACTAAAACAGGACTGAAACAGAACTAAACCAGGACTAAACCAGGACTAAACAGACTGAAACAGAAACAGAACTAAACCAGGACTAAACCAGGACTGAAACAGGACTAAACCAGGACTGAAACAGAACTAAACCAGGACTAAACCAGGACTGAAACAGGACTAAACCAGGACTGAAACAGAACTAAACCAGGACTAAACCAGGACTGAAACAGGACTAAACCAGGACTGAAACAGGACTAAAACAGGACTAAAACAGGTCTAAAACAGAACTAAACCGGGACTAAACCAGGACTAAACCTGGACTGAACCAGAACTAAACCAGGACTAAACCAGGACTGAACCAAAACTAAACCCGGAATGAAACAGAACTAAACCAGGACTAATCTTATCTCTCAAAGCAGCTTTTCTACAGTCCCAAGATGGCGGCCGTGTTGACGTACTCGTCCCCGCCGCGCTCTACAGCTCCGGGTGCGCGCGCTCCTCTCCGACTGTCATGGCGTCTCTCCTGAAGGGGGTTTGGTCCCGGAGAGAGTAACCGACCTCATTTACACGTTTTCCCCCCGACTCCAGAGCCCCGGACCCGGCCAGAGGACCCGGCCAGCACCGCAGACTCACCATGGGAACCGTCCACGCCAAGGTAAAGCCCGAACACGGAACATTCCACGTGTTTGGGGCCCGGTTTTTGCCATGACCTCTCTGTGAAACGTGAAAGACTGGACACAGGCTTTCGTACTCCATGTACTGTGTCCAAAATATCACTTTTAAAAACTACAAACTTCATTTTTTACCTGCACTATCAATCATTCCTGTTTTATCTCCTCATCCGCTTTAAAAACAACACAAAATAACTCTGTACTTTGGATTTACAACAATAAAACCTGCAAATTTAAGATAAGATTCCACCAAATTAACTTATTATTCACTTTTAGGTGCATATATTTCACTTATTACTTTGCAAACTTAAAAAATACAGTTTAGTTTTTAATATTTGTGTAATAATAATAATAATAATAATGATAAATCTATTTTTATGTTGTGCACTGTAGGAAGACTGAAGAGATCTGCAGGAGTCTTGTGCAGCGTGTAGAGGTCACTTTCACTCAGCCCCGCCCTCAGAATGTATTTTAAACTTTAACACTGATCTATAAGTTTATTAAATGCGCTTTAATTTAAAAAAAATGGACGTTTGTGAGGTTTAAGTCTCGTTCTGAAGTTGTAAAGTCCTCGAAAACAGAGCTGGAGTTGTGTTTTGTTGAGGGTCGAAGTTTTGAGCTTCTGTGTTCCCGTCTCAGTAGATTTATTTAAAAAAACAAAACACTGATTTGTCCAAGTTTTGTAAAAGAAATGTTTAAGGTTTCCAGTTTTTGACCAATTTGATCCCTGCCAACAGTAAAGAGAGGAATTTGTTGAGGTAAAATGCAAAAAATCATCTTAAAAAGAAAAAGAAAGAGTCTTTCAAAACAAATTTTTAGGAGTAACTATAGACCATAATTTAAACTGGAAATCACACATAAATAAACTAAACAAAGTGATCGCAATTATATACAAATATAGATATATCCTAGATAAAAACAGTCTTTTTATTACCGTATTTTCCAGGCTATTAGACGCGCTCTTAAGCCTCTAAAAATGACCACGCGCCACAATCCAGAGCGCCCCATACATGAATCCACTCAGGTGTCACAGCACGACTTCAGTAAACTACAAACCCGCAGAACACACAAACACACACGGAGCAGACAGCGACCGCACAGAGAAACACACCCACAGACACACTCATCACTCCACGCCGACGAGGAACGGAACGGAGGAACGAACCGAAAAAGCCACGAGCGCAATGTGCCGCTTCTAGACACGACTGAACAACTGAGTCACTGCGAACACGCCGACAATCCAGCCACAGACACACCCTCCCTACACGCAGAGCTGGGAGTGTTACTTTTAAAATGTAATCCCCTACAGATTACAGATTACACACCCCAAAATGTAGTTTGTAACATAATCCATTAAATTACTTAAAGTGAGTAATGTAATCTGAATACTTTGGATTACTTGATTTGCTGTAGAGAAACAAAGACGAGGAAATTGTAACGTAAGAAGTTTTATCTGCTAAAAGAAAATGAAAAGTCCAGACTTTACTGAACCAAATTAAAAATATAATTGATAGAAGAATGAAGAAACACGTCCACACAGCAGGATTTAGTCCTGTTAAATCCTGGTTTAGTCCTGGTTTAGACCTAATTTTAGTCCTTGTTTAGACCTTTTAGTCCTGGTTTAGATCTAGTTTAGATCTGGTTTTAGTCCTTGTTTACTCCTGGTTTAGACCTGGTTTTAGTCCTGGTTTAGATCTAGTTTAGACCTGGTTTTAGTCCTTGTTTAGTCCTGGTTTAGACCTGGTTTTAGTCCTGGTTTAGATCTAGTTTAGACCTGGTTTTAGTCCTTGTTTAGTCCTGGTTTAGACCTGGTTTTAGTCCTGGTTTAGATCTAGTTTAGACCTGGTTTTAGTCCTTGTTTAGTCCTGGTTTTAGACCTGGTTTAGTCCTGGTTTAAGATTTAGTGTGGTTTAGTGTCCGGCAATGAGTAGAATTACTGAGGGAAAAAAAAAAAGGGATTTAGCCCAAAATGTGAAAACAGTAAAATCCCTCTGTTTAATCCATTTATTTCAACAAAGTAACTGTAATCCAATTACCACTCACTGAAACAGTAACTGTAACTGAATACAGTTACTCATCATTTGTACTCTGATTACTCCGGTACATGTAATCTGTTACTCCACAACCCTCCCTACACGCCACAAACAAACAAAACCACTCACACATCCCACTGTTGTTTCCTTTAAAGTCCCACTCGGTTTATTTGGGAAAAAAGTTCAAAAACAGACCATTTAATGACAGAGCGACGAATAGTGCAGAAAATACGGTAATTATTTATCATCAAGAGAGAAATTATTTTTTCCATAACAATTGAAAAACACATATCGTATCGACAACTTCTTAATGATCCAGCTCTTGTCTTCATGATTAAAACTCTTCTGCGTCTCTGTCGTTTACTGTTTTTAACTTTCGATGACAATTTGAAACTAAAACAAATCGTCCGTACAAACTTTTAAAGTGACTGAATCTGTGTTTCATTCGTTCATTTGTTTTTCAATATAAAACCATAAATAAGAAAACAAAAAAAAACCTGTTATTTTCTTCAATATTTGTCTCCAAAACCAAAATGAAAAAAACGGATAAAGACCGTTTCCCGTTTACGAGACTTAAACTGCGATGCCGAACTTTTGTACCACATACAGACTGAACCAGGACTAAACCAGGACTAAACCAGGACTAAACCAGGACTAAACCAGGACTAAACCAGGACTAAACCAGGACTAAACCAGGACTAAACCAGGTCCGACCAGACCAGGACTGAAGCTGGGACCAGGACCAGGAACAGGCCGTGATTCAGACCGGGACTGAGACCGGAGACCGGGCCGGAGACTGGGACCAGGACTGAAGCTGGGACTGGGACCGGGATTGGGACCGGGACTGGGACCAGGACTGAAGCTGAGACCGGAGACCGGGACCGGAGACCGAAGCTGGGACTGGGACCAGGAGTGAGACCGAGAACGGGACTGAGACTGGGACTGAGACCGGGACTGAAGCTGGGACTGAGACCGGGACTGAAGCTGGGACTGAGACCGGGACTGGACTGAGACCGGGACTGGGACTGGGACTGAGACCGGGACTGGGACTGGGACTGGACTGGACTGGGACCGGGACCGGACTGGGACCGGGATCGGGACACAGACCGGGACACAGACCGGGACACAGACCGGGACACAGACCGGACACAGACCGGGACACAGACCGGGACTGAGACCACGACTTAAAATAGTCCTGGTTCAGTCCGGCATCACAGTTTAAGTCTCGTAAACGGGAAACGGTCGTTATACATTTTTTTCATTTTGGTTTTGGAGACAAATAATGAAGAAAACAGTTTTTTTTTTTTTCGTTTTCTTATTTTTGATTTTATATTGAAAAACAAATGAACGACAGACACACAGATTAAAATACCAGGGCTGGTTTTTGTTCCCAGTCCGACCCTGCTGTAGGTTTTGCAGATGAAGATCTCGCTCGACTCTTCGTTCTCGTTCTTCTGTGTTTAAATGTCACAATAATAATAATAATAATAAATCGTTGTTTTGTTTTGTTTTGTCTGTGCAGAGTCTGGACTTTCTCCGTGTCATAATCGTTTTGTTTCGTCTAAACTCTGAGCTTTATTTAGTTACGTATTTACTCGTATTTATTTCTGGTTTTGTTTGCAGAGCCTGGACCCTCTCCCGATGCACGGCCGCGACCTCGGGATGAACCCCGACGACCTGATGGAGCCGCCGGAGCTCGAGCAGGAAGCCAAACAGGAAGTCCTGGAAAACAAAGACGTACGACGAGAACTTTATTCATCTGTTTACTCACGTCCGCGGAATCAAAACAAACCCACATTTTATCCCCGACGTCGCTCTTAAAACTCTCAAACTCTCGCATCACTGTCCATAGTTTATTTTGTGGTTTATATGTAACTAAAGCTGCATTACGGAACTTTCCTGAGAAGTTCTAGTCGTGTTTTCTGTTTCCTCGTCAAACATCTGGAGTTGTTTTTGGGTTTTTTTTGTTTCATTCACACAAGTTTAACTCACAAACCTGCACATTCAGGCTGAGTTTTTCCTCTCAAACCTGAAAACGCTCTGTTCCACCTCGTGATGTCATCGTGTGGTCATACGGGAAGAAGTGCTCCACTGTGTTTTTAAACTCCACACACCTTCACTAGAATCGTTTGGATCAGTTCAGCGCTGGAGTTTTGTTTTTACCCGATTTCTACGGAACTAAACCGAACTAAAGGGAGCTGCTCACTCAAAACACTTCATGACATCACAGGGTGGGACAGAGCGTTTGGAGCTTTGGAGATGAAGACAGATGAATAATGAAGGTCTAATAAAGACCAGGACTAGACCAGGGCTAAACCAAGTCTAAACTAAGACTAAAATAGGACTAGACGAGGACTAAACCAGAACTGAACCAGAACTAAACTTGAACTAGACCAGGACTAGACCAGGACTAGACCAGGACTAGACCAGGACTAGACCAGGACTAGACCAGGACTAAACCAGGACTAAACTTCGAATGAACCAGTACTAGACTTGGACTAAACCAGGACTAGTCCAGGGGTTAGACTTGGACTAGACCAGGAATAAACTAGGACTAAACCAGGACTAAACTTGGACTGACCAGGACTAAACTTGGACTGAACCAGGACTAAATCAAAACTAGACCAGGACTAGACCAGGGCTAGACTTGGACTAAACTTGGACTAAACTTGGACTAAACTTGGACTAAACCAGGACTTAACAAGGACTAAACCAGGATTAAACCAGGAGTGAATCAGAAGTAAACTTGGACTGAACCAGGACTAACCAGGACTAAACCAGGACTAAACCAGGACTAAACCAGGACTAAACCAGGACTAAACCAGGAGTAAACCTGGACTAAACCTTGACTAAACCAGGACTAAACCAGGACTAAAACCAGGACTCTAAACCAGGACTAAAACCAGGACTAAAACCAGGACTAAACCAGGACTAAACCAGGACTAAACCAGGACTAAACCAGGACTAAACCAAGACTAAACCAAGGTTCCTCAAACATGTGAATGAAACAAAACAGTGAGGAGGAAACATTAGAACACGACTTAAACCTAAAATAATACCATACTCTGGAACATTCTAGGCAAAGCAATAACATCTCCATGGAAACAAGCAGCCGACAAACCCACCGCCCGAAAAGTGACGCAGTACAACAACGAACTGCACTTCTTTAAGTCACCGTTTGTGTATTTGTTGTGTCCGTCGTTGCCGCGGTGACGTGTTTTCTTTTTTTCCTCCCGTTGCCGCGGTGACGTGTTTTCTTTTTTTCCTCCCGTTGCCGCGGTGACGTGTTGTGTCCGTCATTGCCGCGGTGATGTGTTTTTTTCTCCCGTTGTTGCGGTGATGTGTTTTTTTCTCCCGTTGCCGTGGTGACGTGTTGTGTCCGTCGTTGCCGTGGTGACGTGTTGTGTTTCTCCCGTTGCTGCGGTGACATGTTTTTTTCTCCCGTTGCCGTGGTGACGTGTTGTGTTTCTCCCGCAGGTGGTGGTGCAGCACGTGAACGTTCAGGGTCTGGGTCGGACCAAAGAGGATCTGCTGGGATACGAGATCTCCGACGTGTTCCAGGCCAAAAACCTCATCGATGTGAGAGACGGGAGGGCATCTGACTAGACCAGGACTAGACCAGGACTAGACCAGGACTAGACCAGGACTAAACCAGAGACTAAACAGAGACTAAACAGAAGACTAAACCAGAGACTAAACCAGAGACTAAACCAGAGACTAAACTTGGACAGAATCAGGACTAAACCAGAAATAAACCAGGACTGAACTTGGACTAAACCACGGGGAGGGCATCTGACACAGAACTAGACCAGGACTAAACCAGGACTAAACCAGGACTAAACCAGGACTAAACCAGGACTAAACCAGGACTAAACCAGGACTAAACCAGGACTAAACCAGAACTAAACTTGGACTAAAGCACGGGGAGGGCATCTGACGCGGAACTAGACCAGGACTAGACTTGGACTGAACCCGAACTAGACCAGGACTAAACCAAAAGTGAACCCGGACTAGACCAGGACTAAACCAAAAGTGAACCCGGACTAAACCAGGAGCGAACCAGGACTAACCAGGACTAAACTAGGATTAAACCAGAACTACACTTGGACTAAACCAGGACTACACTTGGACTAAACCAGGACTACACTTGGACTAAATGACGGGGAAGGGCATATGACGCAGAACTAGACCAGGACTGAACCAGAGACTAAACTTAGACAGAACCAGGACTAAACTTTGACTAAATCAGGACTCAACCAGAAATAAACCAGGACTGAACTTGGACTAAACCACGGGGAGGGCATCTGACACAGAACTAGACCAGGACTAAACCAGGATTGAACCAGGACTAACTCGGACTAAACCGTGGGCAGGGCATCTGACTGTTTGTGTTTCAGGTGATGAAGAGAGCTCACGTGGCTCGTCAGAAGCTGCTCAGACTCGGCGTGTTCAAAGACGTGGAGGTTCTCATCGACACTTCAGACGGTAAAACTCTTTCTTCGCTTTCGTGTCCTTCTCGTTCATCTTTCTCTTCCTTCTGCGTCTCCTCCTTTTCCTCCTCCATCTGCTTTTCCTCTCGCTCCTTCTTCTGTAAACACGTTGTTGTCGTCTTCTTCTGTAAACACGTCATCTTCTCCTCGTCGTCGTCGTCGTCGTGTGCAGGAGCAGACGCTTTGCCCAACGGTCTGGACGTGACGTTTGAAGTGACAGAAATCAAGAGGATCACAGGGAGTTACAACACCATGGTGGGAAACAACGAGGGAAGCATGGTACGTGTACACACAGAGAGACAGACAGAGAGACACACACAGAGAGACAGACACACACAGAGAGACAGACAGACAGACACACACAGAGAGACAGACACACACAGAGAAACAGACACACACAGACAGACACACACAGAGAGACAGACACACACAGAGAGACAGACACACACAGAGAGACAGACACACACAGACACAGAGAGACAGACACACACAGAGAGACAGACACACAGAGAGACAGACACACAGAGAGACAGACACACAGAGAGACAGACACACACAGAGAGACAGACACACAGAGAGACAGACACACACAGAGAGAGACAGACACACACAGAGAGACAGACACACAGAGAGAGACAGACACACACAGAGAGACAGACACACACAGAGAGACAGAACACAGACACACAGAGAGACAGACAGACACACACAGAGAGACGACACACAGAGAGAGACAGACACACACAGAGACAGACACACAGACACACAGAGAGACAGACACACACAGAGAGACAGACACACACAGAGAGACAGACACACACAGAGAGACAGACACACAGAGAGACAGACACACACAGAGAGACAGACACACAGAGAGAGACAGACACACAGAGAGACAGACACACACAGAGAGACAGACACACAGAGAGAGACAGACACACAGAGAGACAGACAGAGAGACACACACAGAGAGACAGACACACAGAGAGACAGGACACACAGAGAGACACACAGAGAGACAGAACACACACAGAGACAGACACAGACGGAGAGACAGACACACAGAGAGACAGACACACAGACAGACACACAGAGAGACAGACACACACAGAGAGACAGACACACACAGAGAGACAGACACACACAGAGAGACAGACACACACACAGAGACAGACACACAGAGAGACAGACACACACAGAGAGACAGACACACACAGAGAGAGACAGACACACACAGAGAGACAGACACACACAGAGAGAGACAGACACACAGAGAGACAGACACACAGACAGACACACAGAGAGACAGACACACACAGAGAGACAGACACACAGAGAGACAGACACACAGAGAGACAGAGAGACAGACACACAGAGAGACACACAGACAGAGACAGACACACAGAGAGACAGAACACACAGAGAGACAGACACACACAGAGAGACAGACACACACAGAGAGACAGACACACACAGAGAGACAGACACACACAGAGAGACAGACACACAGAGAGACAGACACACACAGAGAGACAGAGACACACAGAGAGAGACACACAGAGAGACAGAGACACACAGAGAGACAGACACACACAGAGAGACAGAGACACACAGAGAGAGACAGAGAGACAGACACACAGAGAGACAGACACACAGAGAGACAGACACACAGAGAGACAGACACACAGAGAGACAGACACACACAGAGAGAGAGACACACAGAGAGACAGAGACACACACAGAGAGAGACAGACACACACAGAGAGACAGACACACACAGAGAGACAGACACACACAGAGAGACAGAGAGACACACACAGAGAGACAGAGACACACACAGAGAGACAGAGACACACACAGAGAGACAGAGACACACACAGAGAGACAGAGACACACACACAGAGAGAGACAGACACACAGAGAGACAGACACACACAGAGAGACAGACACACACAGAGAGAGACAGAGACACACACAGAGAGACAGACACAGAGAGACAGACACACAGAGAGACAGACACACACAGAGAGACAGACACACACAGAGACAGACAGAGACACACACAGAGAGACAGAGACACACACAGAGAGACAGAGACACACAGAGAGACAGACACACACAGAGAGACAGACACACACAGAGAGACAGACACACAGAGAGAGAGACACAGACACACACAGAGAGACAGAGAGACAGACACACAGAGAGACAGACACACACAGAGAGACAGACACACAGAGAGACAGACACACACAGAGACAGACACACACACAGAGACACAGACACACACAGAGAGACAGACACACAGAGAGACAGACACACACAGAGAGACAGAGACACACACACAGAGAGACAGACACACAGACACACAGAGAGACAGACACACAGAGAGAGACACACACAGACACACACAGAGACAGACAGACACACACACACAGAGAGACAGACACACAGAGAGACACACACAGAGAGACAGACACACAGAGAGACAGACACACACAGAGAGACAGACACACACAGAGAGACAGACACACACAGAGAGAGACACACACACAGACACACAGAGAGACAGACACACACAGAGAGACAGACACACAGAGAGACAGACACACAGAGAGACAGACAGACACACAGAGAGACAGACACACACAGAGAGACAGACACACAGACAGACACACAGACAGACACACAGACAGAGACAGACACACACAGAGACAGACAGACAGACACACAGAGAGACAGACACACAGAGACAGACACACAGAGACAGACACACAGAGACAGACACACAGAGAGAGACAGACACAGAGACACACACAGAGAGACAGACACACAGAGAGACAGACACAGAGAGACAGACACACAGAGACAGACACACAGAGACACAGAGACAGAGAGACACACAGAGAGACAGACACACACAGAGAGACAGAGACACACAGAGAGACAGACACACACAGAGAGACAGACACACACAGAGAGACAGACACACACAGAGAGACAGACACAGAGAGACAGACACACAGAGAGACAGACACACAGAGAGACAGACACACAGAGAGACAGACACACACAGACAGAGAGACAGACACACAGAGAGACAGACACACAGAGAGACAGGCACACAGAGAGACAGACACACACAGAGAGACAGACACACAGAGAGAGACACACAGAGAGAGACAGACCACACAGAGAGACAGACACACACAGAGAGACAGAGACACACAGAGAGACAGACACACAGAGAGACAGACACACAGAGAGACAGACACGGAGAGACAGAGAGAGACAACACAGAGAAGACAGAGAGAGACACACAGAGAGACAGACACACACAGCAGAGAGACAGACACACAAGAGACAGACACACACAGAGAGAGACAGACAGACACACACAGAGAGACAGACACACACAGAGACAGACACACAGAGAGACAGACACACACAGAGAGACAGAGACACACACAGAGAGACACACACACAGAGACAGACACACAGAGACAGACACACAGAGACAGAGACAGACACACACAGAGAGACAGACACACACAGAGAGACAGAGACACACAGAGACAGAGACAGAGACAGAGAGACACACAGAGAGACAGAGACACAGAGAGACAGACACAGAGAGACAGACAGACACACACAGAGAGACAGACACACAGAGAGAGACAGAGACACACAGAGACACACAGAGAGACAGAGACACACAGAGAGACCGAGACACACAGAGAGACCGAGACACACAGAGAGACAGAGACACACACAGAGAGACAGCACACAGAGACACACACAGAGAGACAGAGACACACACAGAGAGACAGACAGACACACACAGAGAGACAGACACACACAGAGAGACAGACACACAGAGAGACACAGACAGACAGAGAGACAGACACACAGAGAGACAGACAGAGACACACAGAGAGACAGACACACAGAGAGACAGACACACAGAGAGACACCGTCACATACCGTCTTGTGAAAGTCTGATCTCGTCAGATCTCAGAAGCTCAGAGGTCGGGTTTGGTTTGGACTTGGATGAAAACACTGGGAACATCAGGAGCCACAGGAGGCACCAGATGTAAAAACTGTTGTTGTGTCCTTAGGCAAGACACTTCACCCACATTGTCCAGTATGAAAGTGGTGTGTGTGAGTGGTGGTGGTCACTGGGTCTGGAGTGATTGAATAATGCTCTGTAAAGTGTCTTTGTGACAAATGTCTGTGAAAACGTCATGTAAATAAAACACTTACTTTCATACTCTCTCTGTACCCCCTGTTCCGCAGGTTCTGGGTCTGAAGTTACCGAACCTGTTTGGTCGAGCGGAGAAGTTGACCTTTCAGTTTTCTTACGGGACGAAGGAGACGTCTTACGGTCTCTCCTTCTTCAAACCGCAGCCCGGATTCTTCGAACGCAAGTAACAGAACCACAACTACACACACACAAACACACTCAAAAAGCTGCACTGTGTAACTTTACGGGTAGAGTGTCTGCTTATAGACAAGTGCGGTCTATATATGTACACTTTTTTTTTTTGTTTTTCTTCTACAGTTTAGTTGCTCTGTCTTATATTTAGGTGCCCTCAATAGTCTGGAAATTACGGTAGTCTGGTGTGAACAGCAGATGTGTGAGGTCCTCTTGATAAAATGGTGAAACCCTGTCGTCTGTCACTGTGTTTTTGTGTTCCAGCTTGACTCTGAACGCGTACAAAGTGACCGGGCAGTTTCCCTGGAGCTCCTTAAAAGAAACAGACCGAGGCCTGTCCGCGGAGCTCAACGTGAGTCTCAGATACACGTTTAAACGGCTCAAATCATCACACTGTTTTATGTTCTGACGTCGTTTCCTCGTCGCGCACACGTGGAGTTGTGTTTCTTTTGTTTTATTCACACGTTTAACACACAAACCTGCAGATTTACACTGAGTTCTTCTCTCAAACTGAAAAAAAATACTCCACACACCTTCACAAGAATCATTTCCAACCTCCACTGAACTAAAGGAGCTGTTCACTTGAAAACTGCCATGACATCACAAGGTGGAACAGAGCGTTTTGAGGTTTGGAGATGTAGACAGACTAATAATAATAAAGAGTTACTCAAACATGAATGAAACAAAACACAGAAACTCCAGGTCTGTTTTTGAGGAGGCGCACTGTGTAACTTTTCCGGTGAAGGATCCTTCAAATGTTTGTCTCCATGGATACTTTATTTTATTTATTTATTTATTTATTCAATATTTTACCAGGTAAGGTAACACTTTCTCGTGTACAATGACGACCCGGCCACGAGGCAGAATAAAACAAAAGCACAAACAGAAACGTCACTGCTCTGCCTGGAATGTTCCGCAGTGCAGAGATGGGACCAAGTCTTTGTTTTGCAAGTCTCAATTAAGCGAGTCCCGAGTCGAGTCCCGAGGCGAGTCCCGAGCGAGTCCGAGGCGAGTCCCGAGGCGAGTCCCGAGCGAGCGACCCCGAGGCGAGTCCCGAGGCGAGCCCCGAGGCGAGTCCCGAGGCGAGTCCCGAGGCGAGTCCCGAGGCGAGTCCCGAGTCACTGGCCCATAAGTCTAAGTCAAGTCCAAGTCGTCAGCTCTGAGCTTCAAGTCATTTCAAGTCCTTAAACCAGAAAAGTACCAAACTTCTCTTAGGGGTGGGCAAACTTTTTGACTGGTGGGCGTGACGGACGGACCGGACCAGGAGCAGATGGATGGAGTTTTTTGGTAATCCACCTCATAAGAGAAAAAAATAACATGAGATATGTACAAAAAATATCCCATGTTACTGAAATGTCCCATAATTGAAAATCATCACAAAGCATTACAACAAAATATCTGTCTTACAAGTCCCACGATATTTACTATTTATTGAAATGACTTTTAAAACACTGAAAATTATTATTATTATTATTCAAGTTCGGCGGACCAGATTAAAAAGATTAAAGGGCTGTAGTTTGCCCACTCCTGGCTTAGAGTTTTGCAATTTATATGAATTTTAAACTAAATTGTAATTAAAAATTCATGTTATATTTCTGTGAGTTGTAGAAATGCAAATTTTTCCTTTTTAAGCGTCTTGACAAGATCTTAGAGTGAATCATTCCGGTCAGAATAGAAAGAATTCAGATTTAAAAGTGTTTAATAACAGTTATTTTGTCACATATTTTGCACTGAAATGGAAATATCATGTTCTCTGTAGTTCCCTCTGTTTTACTGTATTGTACTTTATATTACTGTAGTACATTTGAGTACATCCTTCAGTACTTCAGTTACCTCCAAAGTAACAAACAGAAGTGGGAGGGACATGTTCCCGTTTGTTCCTCTAAAATTAATCACTGCATTTATCAACTGAAAAGAGAAAAGTATTTTCTAAAAACATATTTTTTTAGAAGCATCAAGTCTTCTCGAGTCACAGGCCTCAAGTCCGAGTCAAGTCCCAACTCACTGACCCTCAAGTCCGAGTCAAGTCCCAACTCACTGACCCTCAAGTCCGAGTCAAGTCCTAAGTGTCCGTCCATTTTATTAAGTCAAGTCTCAAGTCCTAAAAATAGTGACTCAAGTCTGACTCGAGTCCAAGTCACGACCCTCAAGTCCCTCCTCTGCCACAGTGTGACTTTAAACAGCTCCTTTTTACATTTCCTTTACATTCTGACTGTGAGTGGGGTCGCCTCTCCACAGATCTGACCTGTAACTTGGTCTGGTCTGGTCTCTGTGAAGATAGAAAGGTTTAATGCCGTACTGCGGAACATTCCAGACAAAGCAATAACATCTTCATGGAGAAAAGCGTCTGACGGAGCCTCCACCTGAAAAGTTTCATCTGTATCATGACTTAAAGTTCACAGGAGTCAGTTTTGTTTAATATCGGACCTTTTAATAAATAAAACAGAGTAAAGACAGATGTTTAAATAAAATCTCTCTCTGTTTTGTCCCCGTGTCTCGGTCAGTTCCCGCTGGGCTGGACCAGTCACTGTCTGAAGTGGGAGGGCGTGTGGAGGGAGCTGGGCTGTTTGGCTCGGAGCGCGTCCTTCGCCGTGAGAGAAGAGAGCGGACACTCCCTCAAATCTGCACTTTCGGTAAGACGCCGCAACAAGAGTCACGTTCAAAGGTTGTACAGGGGATTTACCAGCGACTGTTTGTCTTTTATCAAATATTACCACCCCACCAGTGTTGGGGAGTAACAGATTACATGTACTGGAGTTATGTAATTATGAGTAACTGTATTCAGTCAGCTGCATTGACAATAGAGGCCGAGAATGAAGCCCACTCGGACTCCATATCTCCAGCCTCCCCCGGAATCCGGGAGAAGTCCTCCCGGAGGTGCGAGTTGAAGGTCCCTCTGACAGAGGCTCCGCCAGACGTTCCCAACAGACCCTCACTACACGCTTGGCCTGCCAGGTCTTTCCGGCTTCCTCCTCCCGCCAGCGAACCCAACTCACGACCAGGTGGTGATCAGTTGACAGCTCAGCCCTCTCTCTTCACCCGAGTGTCCAAGACACGCGGCCGGAGATCAGATGACACGACGACAAAGTCGATCATCGACCTCCGGCCTAGGGTGTCCTGGTGCCACGTGCACTTATGGACACCCTTGTGCTCGAACATGGTGTTTGTTTATGGACAAACTGTGACTAGCACAGAAGTCCAATAACAAAACACCACTCGGGTTCAGATCGGGGAGGCCGTTCTCCCAATCACCCCTCTCCAAGTGTCACTGTCGTTGCCCACGTGGGCGTTGAAGTCCCCCAGGAAAACAACGGAGTCCCCGGTCGGTGCACTGTCTAGTACCCCTCCCAAGGACTCCAAGAAGGCCGGGTACTCGAGTACTCTGCACTGCTGTTCGGCCCGTAGGCCGACACCACAGTGAGAGACCTGTCCCCGACCCGAAAGGCGCAGGGACGCGACCCTCTCGTTCACCGGGGTGAACTCCAACACACAGCGACTGAGCTGTGGGGCAATGAGCCCACACCAGCCCGCCGCCGCTCCCCGCGGCCAACGCCAGAGAAATGGAGAGTCCAGCCCCTCTCAAGGAGTTGGGTTCCAGAGCCCAAACTGTGCGTGGAGGTGAGGCCGACTATATCTAGTCGGTAACGCTCAACCTCCCGCACAAGCTCAGGCTCCTTACCCCCCAGCGAGGTGACATTCCATGTCCCCAGAGCCACAGTCTCCATGTCCGGAGATCCGGTCGCCGAGGCCCCCGCCGTCGACTGCTGCCCAGATCTCTCTGCACCGGCCCCATATGGATCCTCCTGCGGGTGGTGGGCCCACGTGAGGACGGCCCCACGTCGCTCCTTCGGGCTGAGCCCGGCCGAGCCCCGTGGGGGGGGCTCGGCCACCAGGCGCTCGCTGGCGAGCACCCACCCCAGCCTGCTCCAGGGTGAGGCCCCGGTGACGCCAATCCGGGCGACGTAACTGGCCTTGCTCGTACACTCATCATAGGGGCTTCTGAACCGTTCTTCGTCTGACCCGTCCCCCCGGACCTGTTTGCCTTGGGTGACCCTACCAGGGGCATGAAGCCCCCGACAACATAGCTCCCGGGATCATTTCGGGCACTCAAACCCCTCCACCACGATAAGGTGACGGTTCAAGCGTGCTGCAGCCCGTGTGGTCGCGGAGGCAAAAACCCGGAGCTGGGAGGAGTTCGGGGGAGGCCATGGAGAAGGACTGTCGGACGGCCTCAAAGAGATTCTGGCAAACCGTCCGGGCGCCTCAGGAGGGGGAAGCAGTTCTTCACCAACACTGTTTACAGTGTGGGGAGAGCTGTTGACCTCGACTGGGGACGTTGTCCGGCGGTGGAAGGAATACTTTGAGGATCTCCTCAATCCCACCGCCACGTCTCTCGAGGAGGAGGCCGAGGCTGGGGACTCGGAGGCGGACTCATCCATCACCCTGGCCGAAGTCACTGAGGTGGTGGCAAGCTCCTTGGTGGCAAGGCTCCGGGTTGGATGAGATCCGTCCCGAGTACCTGAAGTCTCTGGATGTTGTGGGGCTGTCTTGGCTGACACGCCTCTTCAACATCGCGTGGCGGTCGGGGACAGTACCTCTGGACTGGCAAAACCGGGGTGGTGGTCCCTCTGTATAAGAAGGGGGACCGGAGGGTGTGTTCCAACTATAGGGGGATCACACTTCTCAGCCTTCCCGGTAAGGTCTATGCCAGGGTACTGGAGAGGAGAATCCGGCCGATAGTCGAACCTCGGGATTCAGGAGGAGCAGTGTGGTTTTCGTCCTGGTCGTGGAACACTGGACCAGCTCTTACACTCTCCATCTGTGCTCGAGGGTTCATGGGAGTTTGCCCAACCAGTCCACATGTGTTTTGTGGATCTGGAGAAGGCATTCGACCGTGTCCCTCGTGGTGTCCTGTGGGGGGTGCTCTGGGAGTATGGGTCCGGGGCCCTTTGCTAGGGCTGTCCGGTCCCTGTATGACCGGAGCAGGAGCTGTGTTCGCATTGGCGGCAGTAAGTCAGACCTGTTCCCGGTGCATGTTGGACTCCGCCAGGGCTGCCCTTTGTCACCGGTTCTGTTCATTGTATTTATGGACAGAATTTCTAGGCGCAGTCAGGGGTCGGAGGGGTCCGGTTTGGGGACCACAGGATTTCATCTCTGCTGTTTGCGGACGATGTTGTCCTGTTGGCTTCATCGAACCAGGACCTGCAATGTGCACTGGGGCGGTTTGCAGCCGAGTGTGAAGCTCTTCCAAATCCGAGGCCATGGTTCTCGACCGGAAAAAGGCGTCTGGCCCTCTCCGGGCAGGTGGAGAGTCTCTGCCTCAAGTGGAGGAGTCTTGTTCATGAGTGAGGGAAGGACGGAACGTGAGATTGACAGGCGGATCGGTGCAGCTTCGGCAGTGATGCGGTCGCTGTATCGGACCGTTGTGGTGAAGAGGAGCTGAGTCGAAAGGCGAAGCTCTCGATTTACCGGTCAGTCTTCGTTCCTACTCTCACCTATGGTCATGAGCTCTGGGTAGTGACCGAAAGGACGAGATCGCGGATACAAGCGCTCGAAATGAGTTTCCTCCGCAGGGTGGCTGGGCGCTCCCTTAGAGATAGGGTGAGGAGCTCAGTCACACGGGAGGAGCTCGGAGTAGAGCCGCTGCTCCTCCACGTCGAGAGGAGCCAGTTGAGGTGGCTCGGGCATCTGTTCCGGATGCCTCCTGGGCGCCTCCCTCGGGAGGTGTTCTGGGCATGTCCCGCCGGGAGGAGGCCCCGGGAAGACCCAGGACACGCTGGAGGGACTATGTCTCTCGGCTGGCCTGGGAACGCCTCGGGGTCCCCCCGGAGGAGCTGAGGACGTGTCTGGGGTGAAGGAAGTCTGGGAGTTCCTGCTTAGGCTGCTGCCCCCGCGACCCGGCCCCGGATAAGCGGACGAAAATGGATGGATGGATGGATGGATGTATTCAGTTACAGTTACTGTTTCAGTGAGTGGTAATTGGATTACAGTTACTTTGTTGAAATAAATGGATTACACAGCGGGATTTAACTGTTTTCACATTTTGGGCTAAATATGGGTAATTCCACTCTTTGCCGAAAACTAAACCAGGTCTAAACCAGGGCTAAAACCAGGTCTAAACTAGATCTAAACCAGGTCTAAACCAGGGCTAAAACCAGGTCTAAACTAGATCTAAACCAGGGCTAAAACCAGGACTAAGCTAGATCTAAACCAGGTCTAAAACCAGGACTAAACCAGGACTAAACCAGGGCTAAAACCAGGTCTAAACTAGATCTAAACCAGGTCTAAACCAGGACTAAAACAGGTCTAAACTAGATCTAAACCAGGTCTAAACTAGATCTAAACCAGGGCTAAAACCAGGGCTAAAACCAGGACTAAATCAGGACTAAACCAGGGCTAAAACCAGGTCTAAACTAGATCTAAACCAGGACTAAAACCAGGTCTAAACTAGATCTAAACCAGGACTAAAACCAGGTCTAAAACTAGGACTAAACCAAGACTAAAACAGGACTAAAACCAGGTCTAAACTAGGTCTATACCAGGTCTAAAACAGGTCTAAAACCAGGTCTAAACCAGGACTAAAACCTGGACTAAACCAGGACTAAAACCAGGTCTAAACTAGATCTAAACCAGGACTAAAACCAGGTCTAAAACTAGGACTAAACCAAGACTAAAACAGGACTAAAACCAGGTCTAAACTAGGTCTATACCAGGTCTAAAACAGGTCTAAAACCAGGTCTAAACCAGGACTAAAACCTGGACTAAACCAGGACTAAAACAGGATTTAACAGGATTTAACAGGACTAAATCCTGCTGTGTGGACGTGTCTCTTCATCTTCTATCAATTAAATTTTTAATTTGGTTCAGTAAAGTTTAGGCTTTTTATTTTCTTTTAGCAGATAAAACTTCTTACGTTACGATTTCCTCGTCTTTGCTTCTCTACAGCAAATCAAGTAATCCAAAGTAATCAGATTACATTACTCACTTTAAGTAATTTAATGGATTATGTTACAAACTACATTTTGGGGTCTGTAATCTGTAATCTGTAGGGGATTACATTTTAAAAGTAATCTTCCCAACACTGCTCCCTACTCCTCCACAGCTCCCTCAGTACAAAAGCCTCGTCCCACCAGAGTCCTGCACGAGTCACACACAGATTAAAATCATTCTGACTGAAGCGTCCATCAGAATATGAATTTAAAAGTTACGACATCAGGAATTACAATCACGAAATGAAATGAAACGGTTTCACTTTCTTCAGGACGAACACGAATTCACAGACGCGACTCGACTGTCATCACTTCACAGGCTTTATTACTTTATTTACTACTTTATTACTTTATTACTTTATTACTGAACAGAAGAAGCATTGATCGAGATTCTCGACTTTTGCGCCGCACCACACCACGGACAAACCCAGGACTAAAGCAGGAATAAAACAGGAATAAAACAGGACTAAAACGGGAATAAAAAAGGATTAAAACAGGACTAAAACAGGACTAAAATGGGAATAAAACAAGACTAAAACAGGAATAAAACAGGACTAAAGCAGGACTAAAACGGGAATAAAACGGAACTAAAACAGGACTAAAACGGGAATAAAACGGGAATAAAACGGGAATAAAACGGGACTAAAACAGGAATAAAACAGGAATAAAACGGGAATAAAACAGGAATAAAACGGAACTAAAACAGGACTAAAACGGGAATAAAACAGGAATAAAACGGAACTAAAACAGGACTAAAACGGGAATAAAACGGGAATAAAACAAGACTAAAACAGGAATAAAACAGGACTAAAACGGGAGTAAAACGGGAATAAAACAGGACTAAAACGGGAATAAATCGGGACTAAAACAGGTCTAAAACAGGACTAAAACGGGAATAACACAGGAATAAAACAGAACTAAAACAGGACTAAAACGGGACTAAAACAGGACTAAAACGGGAATAAAACAAGACTAAAACGGGAATTAAACAGGACTAAAATGGGAATAAAACAGGACTAAAACGGGAATAAATCAGGTCTAAAACAGGACTAAAACGGGACTAACACAGGAATAAAACAGAACTAAAACAGGAATAAATCGGGACTAAAACAGGTCTAAAACAGGACTAAAACGGGAATAACACAGGAATAAAACAGAACTAAAACAGGGCTAAAACAGGAATTAAACGGGACTAAAACAGGATTAAAACAGGATTAAAAAAGGACTGAACCAGGACTGAACCAGGACTCACTGTCGGGACGAGCTCTGAGGTGCGTCCGTGTGGACAGTCGGGTGACTGCAGGTGAAAGGGCCGCGGCGCAGAGCTCCAGGTGTGAAGTGACAGAACAATGTTCTGTAAAGTGTCTTTGTGACAAAAGTCTATGAAAACCGTTATATATAAAATAAACTTACTAACAGATAGTTTTATGTTATAAATACATTAAAGTCACTCTCTCGATCGGGAAAACAAGACACTCGCTGACCACGGCGGACGTTTTTTGACGCCGCGGTCTGAACACAGCTTTAGACCTTTTGAAAAAAATTAAATATTATATGTGGAAAAAATGAATATTAAATGTACAGAAGTAGAGCAGGAAGTCACTGTTGAGCTCCATGCAGGTTAAACTCTAGAACACAACCGTTTAATCCAGTTTATAAACAGGTTCATGCTCTGATGTGTCGTGTTTGTTTTTGTTCGCAGCACACGATGTCCATAGACTCCAGGAACTCGGCGATCTTCCCGAGCAGAGGTGCCTTACTGCGGGTCAACCAGGTCAGTCCCGTTTACACTGAAACTCGCTCTACATTTCTACATTTCTGTTTCAATTCTGTACTTAAAGCTGCACTGCGTCCGTCAAATGCTTTTCTCCATGGACATGTTGTTGCTTTTTCTACTGTTGAATGTTTCACAGTGTGGCATTAAACCTTTATATCTCCATGGAGACCAAACCAGACCAAGGTACAGGTCAGATCTGGGTATTTTTGAGCTGTAAAACCACCTGTAATTGAATAAAAGTAAAGTAGAGCTGTTTAAAGTCACACTGCGGAACATTCCAGGCAGAGCAACGACGTATCCAAGGAGACGAGCACCAGAAAAGTTACACAGTGCACCTTCTAGCGCCACACTTTGTCATTTTGGCGGTGAACGGTATGCCGCCACCGCCGCCTCGTCTCCACGGAGATGTTATCGCTTTGTCGGGAATGTTCCACAGCGCGGCGTTAAACACATCCAAGTTACGGGTCGGATCACTGAAGAGGCGAGCTCACTCACAGGAATAATGTGTGTTTTTATTAATAGAACACATGTAATTGGACAAACGCAAAATCACAGGTTCAAATCTCCAAACATACTGGGGCAGTGGGTTAAACTTCTGCCCAAAAACCAGAAGATCAGCGGTTCAGATTTCCTAAGTGTGTTGTTGTTGTTGTGTCTCTGGGCAAGACGTTTAAACCAGTTTCCCTTTGTCAGTTTTATTTGTGAATTTGATGATTTGATGTGGATATTTTTAATGCCAAACAGTGGAACATTCTGCGCCGCTGGTGTTTCTCAAACTGTGGTACGTGCACTGTTTAAGTACCAGTGGAAAAAATGATGTAGTCCACTTTTAGACCTGGTTTAGTCCTAGATTAGACCTGGAATAGTTCTGTTATAGACCTGGTAATAGACCTGGAATAGTCCTGTGATAGACCTGGTTTAGACCTGGTTTAGACCTGGTTTAGTCCTGGTTTAGTCCTGGTTTAGACCTGCTTTAGACCTGCTTTAGACCTGCTTTAGACCTGTTTTAGACCTGCTTTAGACCTGCTTTAGACCTGCTTTAGACCTGCTTTAGACCTGCTTTAGACCTGCTTTAGACCTGTTTAGTCCTGTTTTAGTCCTGTTTTAGTCCTGGTTTAGACCTGCTTTAGACCTGCTTTAGACCTGTTTAGACCTGCTTTAGACCTGCTTTAGACCTGCTTTAGACCTGTTTTAGTCCTGTTTTATTCCTGTTTTAGACCTGCTTTAGACCTGTCTTAAACCTGTGATAGACCTGGTTTAGACCTGGTTTAGACCTGGTTTAGACCTGGTTTAGACCTGGTTTAGACCTGGTTTAGACCTGGTTTAGTCCAGCTTTAGTCCGGCTTTAGTCCGGCTTTAGTCCGGCTTTAGTCCGGCTTTAGTCCGGCTTTAGTCCTGCTTTAGTCCTGCTTTAGTCCTGCTTTAGTCCTGGTTTTGTACTGCTTTAGACCTGGTTTAGTCCTGGTTTAGTCCTGGATTTAGTCCTGATTTAGTCCAGATTTAGTCCTGGTTTAGTCCTGGTTTAGTACTGTTTTAGACCTGCTTTTAGACCTGCTTTTAGACCTGCTTTAGTCCTGCTTTAGTCCTGCTTTAGTCCTGCTTTAGTCCTGGTTTAGTCCTGGTTTAGTACTGTTTTAGACCTGCTTTTAGACCTGCTTTAGACCTGTCTTAACCTGGAATAGTCCTGGTTTAGACCTGCAATAGTCCTGGTTATAGTCCTGTTTTAGTGCTGGTTTAGTCCGGGTTTAGACCTGGTTTTACTCTGAAAGTAAAATCTTTTCTTTAATTTGACTTGTTAGAAAAAGTTAAAGAGCCGCAGTTAAACACAAACTCACATCTCCATGGAGACGAGCAGGTGACAAACTCCCCCAACACAAAAGTTCCAGAGTGCGTCTTTAAAGCGTTAACCGTCTTTAAACCTGTTTTTATATATTTTTTAAATATTTCCTGTCCGTTTGTTTCGCAGGAGCTGGCCGGATACACGGGAGGAGACGCCAGTTTCCTCAAAGAAGATTTTGAACTCCAGCTCAACAGACGACTCTTCTGGGACTCGGTCAGAACACGACACACAATCATGTAAAAGAGAGAGAGCGGTGCAGCGGGTTAAGCGTCCGCCCGCTCACCAAAAGATCCTGGGTTCAGATCTGCCCAAGTGCAGATTGGATGTGTCATGTATGTCCTTATTCATGATTTATTTGGATTAGAAAAAAACAGAAATGATTTAAACCCACTATAAAGGTCCTATGTCACGCAAAACTGACTCCTGTGAGCTTTAAGTCGTGTTCTGACGTCGTTCTCTCCTCAAAAACAAACCTGGAGTTCAGTTTGAGAGAAGAACTCAGCCTAAATGTGCAGGTTTGTGTGTTGTGAATGAAACAAACAAAACTCCAGGTTTATTTGTGATGAGGAAACGACATTAGAACAGATCAGAGAACAGTGTCATGTAGGATCTTTACAACAACAACAAACTTTATTATGATAGATCGCTTTTCATACAAAAATGCAACACAGAGCGCTTTAACTCTTTCCCCCATGAAGACGACATTTGACGACCCTCCCTGTTTCCTTAATGACGACTTTTGACTCCTCCGCCGTATCACTAAAGACGAGATTTGACGACCTTTAGAAATGGCTCGGGTTTTCACATTTAAACAGAGACTGTGATAGGTGAGGGCCACTACAACCCACACTAGACTGACCAATAGGATTCAAGGATATGTTTTCGCCGATTTTTTCCGAAGTTAATCGAAATAGTGACGATGGTAGCTTCCGGAAAAAACACAACACGAAACACGAGCAATGGAAAGATCGCGGCGCTGCGGCGCACAGTTTTAGAAATAATGAGGAGCGGACGTATTTTATGAATAAGTTTAGAAAAAGTGACTTTTATAGGTTTCAAAGTGATGATGTTGAAGTTGATTATAAAGTGGAAAAGAGCGACAGCGACGGACTTTCGGGGAGAAGGTGAGATGCCGCTGTGTGGATTCCTGCGATATCTGAACAAACTATCTGAGCTTTATACTCGATTATGAACCAAAATTGCCCTGAAATCTGGATGTTGCCCAGGCCAGTCCTTTAAAATATTTCAGTCTTTTTTTCCAAGATGCGATGTATAACAGAATCGCTACAGAAAAAACACTTATGTGGAGCTCTGCACACGAGAAAGTAACCAAGATGACAAATACTGGACACACACTGACGGGGAAGAGTTTTATTATTATATTATTATATTATTATATTATAATAAGCTAAATTAGTTGAATAAGTTAAATGAGTTGAATAAATAAAATAAGTTGAATAAGCTAAATGAGTTGAATAAGTTAAATGGAAAAAAATTTATTGGGTGCACACAGGTGAACAACAGGTAAAAACAGGTGCACACTTGGCTTTACTGTATCTGGTGATATGAAATCTGTTTAAATACTTTGACAAAGTATATTTTAAATTTTTTTTATGAATATAGTACTCAGAACATGCAGATATCAGATGCTGAATGTAGTTTTTTTGTTTTTCGAGTTTGCACCTGACCAGGTAAACTCTCATTTTCAGTGAGCTGTTATACACCTATAAATGAGTTGAATCAGATTTAAACATCCAGAAATGAATTGTTCAGAGTCTGAGGTTTCCAGAGATACCAAATATGTCTGTGTTACAATTAAGTTCATGAGTGTAAAAATCATTTATAATCACTCGTGGAAGTCTGTTTTCTTTTATGCAGTTATGCTCTATGGGTGTAGCCCTAGTAACATATGTATGGGTTGTTCCTAGTCGGCGTCCAGGGGGGAAAGAGTTAACAATCTCAATCTCAACATTACTAACGAATTTTAACCTACAATATGCATAGATAAATATTCATAATTTGAACTTCTGTAGTGACTCTGTATAACCACTAGAGGGAGATAAGTCCTTGGAGACTTTTTGTGTACATTTTGCAATAATGCACCAAAATCAATGTTGTTATAAATTAATGACATGTGTAACATATGTAAGGCTCTAATAACATCAACTCAAACAATCCACTTCAGACTTTTATTTCTGAAAATTTTCCAATCTTTATGTTTTTGGTATCTAAAACAGGATGACCAGACCTGGGACAGTCCCAGTTTTGAGCTCTGTGTCCCCTGTCCCAGCAGATTTATACAAAAAAACTGTGTTTTGTGCAGAAAGAACAAAAATGTGGCTGTTTGCTGCAGGTTTTCCAATCAGTGGGAGCAGGTAGAGGGCGCTCTTGGAAAAAGGATCAAAACTTAAACCATAAAAGTAGAAAAAGTAAAAAATGGAACAAGGATAAATATAGTTAAAAGGCCTTTATTTGAATGGCCAAAGCTGACACGTTTCGACTTTAACTGGTCTTCATCAGGGTTTAATGTCTTAAAACAGTGTTTTGTCCAAGATTTATACAAGAAATGTCCCAGGTGTCCCTATTTTTGACCAATTTGATACCAGCCAACAGCAAAGAAAGGAATAAATGGTCATTTTTTTAAAGTAAAATACATAAAAGCTGCTTAAAAACAACCAAAACACAAAGAAAATGTGACTGTACTGACTCACATGTTCATCGTGAATAAGTCATGAATGGGCCAAATGCAGAACAGTTTTCCGTAGCCTCATAGGACCTGGTGTCCACATGTGTCCACATTTATGTCCAACACCTTTTGGGTTGTTCAGGCTCTTATTGGTTTTTACAAATCATTATTCAATTGTGACTTTTTTGTGTTCCATCAAAATGATTAAAACATAAAATTAATGTTTTATAAATCATATCTGGATGTCATTTTACTCAGGAACTACATCATGTACCAATAGAATTCTTAGTTTTTGCCTCATTAAGTCCCAATCAGCCCAAATAACAAAGAGAAATCAATAAAGCCTCAAGAGTTTGGGTCGTAGGAGGTTAATGTCACAATGTTCACAGTTTTATTATTACCGTCCACCACAAACCCGGGGTGTCCCAGGTTTTGATTTTGAAAATCTGGTCACCATAATATAAAAAAATGGCCCATATCTATAAATTCAGTTTAAATTTGAATGATTTTTTGATATTTTTGAACAGAAGACACATGGAGAAGAGGTTTGAGTCGTTGAAAATATAAAAAATTGTTAATTGAGTTTTATTTTATAGCACTTTTATGTAGTGGAAGTCGTTGCGAGTGTGACCAAAATCCTAAGTTCTAAGAGAAACTGTTAAATGTGTGTTTCAGGTTCTGTCTGCGTCGTTCTGGGGAGGGATGTTGTATCCGCTCGGAGGGCAGCCGTCCTGTATCGCAGACAGGTACAGAGAATTCACTGACTGTATAAAGCTGCCCTGTGTAACTTGTGTGCTCGTTTCCATGGATACGTCACTGCTCTGCCTGGAATGTTCCACAGTGTGACATTAAACAGCTCCACTTTACATTTATTCAATCACAGGTGGTTTTATAGCTCAAAAACACATAGAAAAACAGACATTTTGACTGTGAGCGGCGTCGCCTCTCCACAGATCTGGCCTGGAACTTGATCTGGTTTGGTCTCCATGAAGATAGAAAGGTTTAATGCCGTACTGTGGAACATTCCAGACAAAGCAATAACATCTACAAGGAAAAAAAGCGTCTGATTTTTGAGTGGATTTCCTTCATCTTTAATCTCTTGTTTATTTGTCAGATTTTACCTGGGAGGCCCGACCAGTGTTCGAGGGTTTGGGATGTACAGTATCGGACCACAGAGCGAAGGTAAAACAAATTCAACGATCTGGTTAAAGCTCCAATATCACACAAAACTGACTGACTGACTGTGAGTTTTAGCTCATGTTCTAATGTTGTTCCTCCTCAGAAACAGACCTGGAGTCGTGTTTTGTTTCATTCACATGTTTGAGTAAAACTTTATTATTAGTTTGTTTAAATCTGCAAAGCTCAAAACACCCTGCTCCACCTGGTTTAGACCTGGTTTAGACCTGGTTTAGATGGTTTAGACCTGGTTTAGACCTGGTTTAGACCTGGTTTAGATCTGGTTTAGACCTGGTTTAGACCTGGTTTAGATCTGGTTTAGACCTGGAATAGTACTCTTTTAGACCTGGTTTAGACCTGGTTTTGGTTTAGATCTGGTTTAGACCTGGTTTAGACCTGGTTTAGACCTGGTTTAGACCTGGAATAGTACTCTTTTAGACCTGGTTTAGATCTGGTTTAGACCTGGTTTAGACCTGGTTTAGACCTGGTTTAGATCTGGTTTAGACCTGGAATAGTACTCTTTTAGACCTGGTTTAGATCTGGTTTAGACCTGGTTTAGACCTGGTTTAGACCTGGTTTAGACCTGGTTTAGACCTGGAATAGTACTCTTTTAGACCTGGTTTAGACCTGGTTTAGACCTGGTTTAGACCTGGTTTAGATCTGGTTTAGACCTGGTTTAGATCTGGTTTAGACCTGGTTTAGATCTGGTTTAGACCTGGTTTAGACCTGGTTTAGATCTGGTTTAGACCTGGTTTAGACCTGGTTTAGACCTGGTTTAGATCTGGTTTAGACCTGGAATAGTACTCTTTTAGACCTGGTTTAGATCTGGTTTAGACCTGGAATAGTACTCTTTTAGACCTGGTTTAGATCTGGTTTAGACCTGGTTTAGATCTGGTTTAGACCTGGTTTAGATCTGGTTTAGACCTGGAATGGTACTCTTTTAGACCTGGTTCTGGTTTAGACCTGGAATAGTACTCTTTTAGACCTGGTTTAGATCTGGTTTAGATCTGGTTTAGACCTGGTTTAGACCTGGTTTAGACCTGGTTTAGACCTGGAATAGTACTCTTTTAGACCTGGTTTAGAGCTAATTAGAGCATTCTGAGCTCCAGATCTGGAGGTAACAAACCTCCTCAAAAACAGATCTGGAGCTCAGAATGCTCTGTTCCACCTTGTGATGTCATGAAGTGGTAGTTTTCAGTTTTGAACAGCTCCTTTTACCTTTAGTTCAAAAGAGATTCCAAATTAATGAAATGATCCAAATAATCCTGTGAAGGTGTGTTGTTGGGTTGGGGGGTGTTCTACCGTTAAACCTTCTCAGCATTTCACCAGGGTATACAGTATTACTGTATTACCAAAATGTTTTAGTACGACTTTAGTAAACTACGAACTATGATCTGTGTGTATGACCTGTAGATTTATAATCCCTGAAAAGTTTACCATGAACCATCTCCAACACGACAGAAACACAGAACAGACTCACCATCAGCAGCACATCCTCTGTCACAGAAACAACACTCATATTCCACTGAGTCGTGTCCTTTAGTCCAACAGAAGCTGAACCACATCAGACACAAGGAAAGAGCTGTTTTATCAGCGCTTTAGTTTATACAAATGAGCCACGTGGTTTTAAGTTTTGTTTCTGTAAAACGTAAACAAATGTGCTCAAAGCTGAATTAGAAGCCGCGACGGGTACGCTCAATTTGGTTTATTTACCCGTCTTCCTGTCATTCGGCCTGAAGCCAAAATGCTGCCAAATTGTAGAAGTACTAGTATTTTATTTTTTGAGACAAACTTTCTTGTGGCCGGACTTGTCGTCTTGTCTCGGTCTCTTATGAGCGTCACATGACAATGGAACGAAACTAATTGAACGTCGTCTCCCTGCACAGTTAAAAGAAACATTTTAGACACTATTAGTTTTAAATCGTGAAACATTAAACTGAAAATACAAACACATTCATTTGTGCCGAGCAAACAAATGTAGGGATCAGTAAATTATAATATTTCATTAGGTCCTTATGCGCTGCAGATTTTTTTAATGACTGTAATGAAACTGATAACGCTGCTACTTTTTGATACTGTGGGACACTAATACTGTATAACCCTAATGTGTGGAGTTTAAAAACACAGTGGAGCACTTCTTCTGTTTTACCACATGACATCTGAAGGTGAAACAGAGTATTTTTAGTTTGAGATAAAAACTGAATGTGCAGGGTTTGTGAGTTAAACATGTGAATGAAACAAAACACAACTCCAGGTCTGTGTGTGACAGATCAGAGTGTGTGAAATGGACCCTTTAAAACTGTGTGTGTGTGTGATCTCAGGTGTTGTATTTGACTCTTGGGTGTGACCCGGGCGGAGAGCGGGACTGGGCGGGTTGTTTGGTTTATTTGCAGGAGCATTTGACCCTCTTTGTCCCTGTGTGTAGGAGATTACCTGGGCGGAGAGGCGTACTGGGCGGGGGGGCTGCACCTGTACACGCCCCTGCCCTTCAGGCCGGGCCGAGGAGGATTCGGAGACTTGTTCAGAACACACTTTTTCCTCAACGCCGGAAACCTCTGCAACCTCAACTACGGTAAAAATATACACCTTTGTATCTATTTAAACATCAACTACGGTAAAAAAAAAAACAAAAAAACACTGAGTGCGTATACATGCACATCAATAACCCGGTTATTAGCCATATCCCGGTTCTGTCAGTATTCGTGTTACTGTGTTTACATGCGCACTGAGAAACCGGGACACTCATATCCGCGTGTACATGATCAAATGGAGTATCCCGGTTTCTTGACATAATCTTACAAATGCGCAGGCGCAAAAATTAACTTAAATCAATTTCATAAACCAGGAAAAATACAAACCGTGAGCTCCTTTAGCATAAGAAGCTAAGGAGCTACGAGGATCTCCCACAATCCACTGTGCAGATTCTTCATTAAAATCTTCTGCATAAATAAACTCAACTTTACAACATATAAACCATAAACACTATAGACACATCAGCCCGTTTGATCAGATCATTCAGCTGTGATCACATTTGTTTACGTTTTACAGAAACGAAACTTAAGACCGTTTGGCTAATTAGCATAAACTGTTAGCGGCGATAAAAACAACTCGCTCCTTGCGCCGCTGATGCGATCAGTTTCTTTTGGACTAAATGACACGACTCTGTGGATTATGTGTGTTATTTCTGTGACAGAAGAGGTGCTGATGATGGTAAGTGTGTTTCGTGCATATAGAGTATAGGAGATAGTTCATGTTTTAGCTTTTCAGCGTCACACGAGTGCAGGTCGTACGAGTGCAGATTGTACATGTGCAGGTTTAGCGCAGCTCTTTATTTTACGTCATTTCACTCGTTTGGTCACTTTATTTATGTTGGTCAATTTATTTATGTCACTACTGTTGTGTGGTGAAAGGCTGGAAAGTGTCGTTTGGATGCATGCGACTCAACTTTATGTTGCAGTAACCGGGTACTGCGTTTACATGTCACAGTATCCCGGTTACTATCAGAATAAACCAGCTACAGTAACCCGGTTTCTAATAACCGGGATACTGCCATAACCGGGTTACTGAAACCGGGTTACTGCGTTTACATGCACCATCAAGAAACCGGGATACTCAAAAAACCCGATCATAACCGGGTTATTGATGTGCATGTAAACACACTCACTATTAGAAACTGAAAGGATCATCAGGAAATCAGTACAGCACCTTTAATCTTTGAACCCATCTCTGTCCCTGTCTGTGTCCCTGTCTGTGCACCTGTCTGTGTCCCTGTCTCTCTGTCCTCTGTCTGTCCCTGTCTGTGCACCTGTCTGTGTCCCTGTCTGTGTCCCTGTGTCCTGTCTGTCCCTGTCTCTCTGCCTCTGTGTCCCTGTCCGTAGGGGAGGGGCCTCAGGCTCACCTGCAGAAGTTGGCTGAATGCATCCGTTGGTCGTACGGAGCCGGAATCGTCCTGAGACTCGGAAACATCGCCCGACTGGAACTCAACTACTGCGTCCCGATGGGGGTGCAGAGCGGAGACAGGTCAGAGGTCACACACACAGAGGTCACACACACAGAGGTCACACACACACAGAGGTCACACACACACAGAGGTCACACACACAGAGGTCACACACGCAGAGCTCACACACACACACAGGTCACACACGCAGAGGTCACACACGCAGAGGTCACAGGTCACACAACAGGTCACACACAGGTCACACACAGAGGTCACACACACAGAGGTCACACACACAGAGGTCACACACGCAGAGGTCACACACGCAGAGGTCACACACAGAGGTCACACACAGAGGTCACACACGTCACACACACAGAGGTCACACACAGAGGCAGAGGTCACACAGGGTCACAGTCACACACAGAGGTCACACACACAGGTCACACAGGTCACACACACAGGTCACACACACAGAGGTCACACACAGGTCACACACAGGTCACAGACACACACAGTCACACACACACAGGTCACACACACACAGAGGTCACACACACACAGAGGTCACACACAGAGGTCACACACACACAGAGGTCACACACACACAGAGGTCACACACACACAGAGGTCACACACACACAGAGGTCACACACACACAGGTCACACACACAGAGGTCACACACAGACCGGGAGCAGGTCACATACTGAGCAGGGACAAGTCAGAGGTCACACTAGGGCTGTCGCGGTTAGAGAATTTCTCCTGCGGTGCGGTTTAGCGGCTCAACACCGCAGTATGTGGTGATATCGCACCCCCTCCCCACATCCCCCGGAGTTATAATATTTCCAGCGGCTCTGAAAACTCTCTGATGATGCTCTTGTTGCAGATGCACATGTACCTTGGTTGTCTTGTGTGCGTAGTGTGAGAAGTGTGAGAAGTAACAAGCTCTCAGGTCAGAGTCCCGCACCAGGTCGGGTCAGAGTCCCGCACCAGGTCGGGTCAGAGTCCCGCACCAGGTCGGGTACCCACAGACTTAAGAGAGAGAGCCAGGAGCACGAGCACACGGAGCAGGTGTCCGCAAATTGCGATCGGGCAATGGCTGCGTTTACCTCCGTGCCATGTGGAGCTCTTCGCCGGTCCTTTCGCCTGCGGTCACCCGACGGTCTACGTGGGTTATCACGGGGGCGGGTGGGTAACAGGTGGAATGTTAACAGGTCCGGGCGGGTGCAAATCTCTAAAAATGGACCCGTGCAGGACTCTGGGTCGGGTCACGTTGGTCTCATGCGGTGATCGTGGTCGGTCTCTTAGTAGCGCGGTGATTCATTTTTGCAGTTATTGCGACAGCCTTAGGTCACACTGAGCTGAGACGGGTCAGAGGTCACACTGAGGTCAAACTAAGGCCACACAGAGGTCACACACAGAGGTCACACACAGAGGTCACACACAGAGGTCACACACAGAGGTCACACACTGAGCAAGGAGAGGTCAGAGCTCAAAGTGTGAACCGGACATTTTCACTTATGTTTTTCACATGGTTTTATTTGTTTATTTCATTTAAATTGTCCATTTTCTTTTCTGATTGATGCTCTAATGTTTCCTCATCACAAACACACCTGGAGTTGTGTTTTGTTTCAAGTTTACCTCACAAACCCTGCACATTTAGGCCGAGTTCTTCAATCAAACGGAAATTTACTACAGCTTCATGACATCACAAAGTGGAACAGACCATTTTGGAGCTTTGGAGATGTAGACAGACTAATAATAATAAAAATTTACTCAAACGTGTGAATGAAACAAAACACAACAACATTAGAATATGACTTAAATATTTTGAGTAATACAGGACGATTAACTCAAGATTCCTGTTCTAAATTCAATGCGTTTCTATTTTTCTTTTATAAACTACTCGAGTACAACTTTGTATTAATCCCAGTGCAATGTTGGTACCTAAAGATTCCACTAAAGGGCAGTGTTCTTGTAGCCTGTTCTACCTGTGTATCAAACTGGTACCAAATAATCATCAGATCTAGTTTCAGACGTTCTGTTCTCTACTCATCTAAAAATAAAATGTTCTGATTTGATGATTCACGTGGTTAAATAAAGCCGCGCTCTGTTTACACGTAACAAAACAACACCTGATGGTTTGACTTTTAAAACTCCTCTGACGGCTTTCCCTGTTTGTATTCCTTTTATTCCTGGGTTTGGTAAATAAACTCTGATAAATATTGACGGCAGATTCTTAGAAAAATACAGGATTAGTGCTGAAATAATAAATATAAATTATGAAGCTGTTTTCTGATTTGTTCTAATGGAGTTTCAGACCTGGAGTTGTGTTTTGTTTCATTTTGTTTCATGTTTAACTCACAATCCTGCACATTTAGGCTGAGTTCTTCTTTGAAAATACAAAACACTCATGTCGGAATACAGGGAGCGCTCCACTGTGTTTTTAAAAAGCCATTAAACCGTTTCCCTAAGTAAAATCTGAAAAATCCTCCAGCCAATATTCTGAATCTTTTTATTGAAAGAGTAAGTATTTATAATTTAAAGGGAATTCATCTCTTTAAATTGGCCAGAGTCCGACCAACAAGGAAAAGTTTTTGTATTTCAATTTGGAGCTCTACGAGTGATGAGCTCAAAAAATGTCCAAATATGAAAATATTTAAACATAAATATAAATAAATGATTATAGCTACGTATGCAGAAGAAGGAATTTAAGTTTATTTGTCGTCTGAATGTAAACTACACTATATTTTTGTATCTGGAGTGTGACGTACGATTATAAGAGTCTGGCAGCAGCACATTGTTGCTTTAATGGTTTTGTAAAAGGGGGTGGGGGTAGATAAGCGTCGCTTCTCCACACTCCTTTTCAGAATGAATTTTTTTTTTTTTTTGGAGATTATAGTTGTGATGAGCAATGTAAAATAATTGCCTTTATCTGTTGATTCCTGCGTAATAATGCAATTTATCCATCCATCCCAGCCCAGAGACATAGTCCCTCCAGTGTGTCTTGGGTCTTCCCCCGGGGCCTCCTCCCGGTGGGACATGAACACCTCCTGAGGGAGACGCCCAGGAGACAGAACAGATGCTCCTCCCCTCAGCCGCTCCTCTCCACGTGGAGGAGCAGCAGCTCTACTCCGAGCTCCTCCTGTGTGACTGAGCTCCTCACTCTGTCTCTAAGGGAGCGCCCAGACACCCTGCGGAGGAAACTCATTTGTGCCGCTTGTATCGGCGCTCTGGTCCTTTTGGCGATTACCCAGAGCTCATGATCAGAGGTGATCCATAAATGATAAATTGCATGAACTCCTTGCCTCAAGTGGAGGAGTTCATGCAATTTATCATTTGTGGAAACATCCGAATAAACTTATTAAACAATTAAACTTATCAAACAGACAGCCACAACAACACGGTCTGGACTGGTGTGCTCCAGACTCTGAAACAGAGTGGATGGTTGTGCTCAGATCACGCAGTTTCCCTTTTCTCCAGACACGGCGGGACATGGAGGTGTCCGGCGGTGCGAGGTTGGGGCTGAGAGGGGCTCCTCACGTCCCGCCCTATAGACTCCACCGGCTGCGCTGGTCACGTAATAACCTGCGTCTGTAGTTTAGGATCAACTACAAGCCAGGACATTGGCTAAAGAGGCCGATACAGACGACTTTGACTCACCGGGTTCCCACGGTCATGGAAATTCTGGAAAAGTCATTGACTTTTATTATCTCTTTCACCAACTGCAGCGTTCTGTTAAGTTCTCATGAGGCTATTATGATCATTTCTGAACGTATGCACCTTTTGTTTTAAAGAGACGACGATAAATGCACTGACAGGATTTTGAATGTTAAAAAACTATAAGGCGGCAACGGTGGCTGAGTGGCTTGCACTCACGTCTCACAGCAAGAAGGTTACAGGTTTGATCGTTGGGTTGCCTGGGCCTTTCTTTGTGGAGTTTCTCCTCATGTCTAGATGGGTTTCCTCTGGACACTCTGGTTTCTCCCATCAGCCCAAAAAACATGCAAGAAAAAAAAAAGTAATGGAAAAGTTCTGAAATTTTGTCAATGAAAAAGAGCGGGAACCCTGGACCCAAAAGTCAGATTTTATACAAATATGCACTAAAATGCCAAAATAAGTCCAGGGAAAGGAATACGCTTCTATTTTAGACCCATTTACACAGATGATCAGTAGAGTGACCCTTTAAACTCCATACACCTTCACTAGAATCATATGGGTCATTTCATTTCCTGGAAGAGACTCTATTCACGCTCACCGGAAAGACGTTTGGAAACATGCTTCTGACGACTTCTGGTGTAATTCCCGACTCTGGGCTTGTGATGAAACCGCGGATCGAGCAGCAGCGTCTTCACAACCTGCCAAAGCTTTTCCATGACGGACGTGATTCTAATCACATCTTCAATGTCACTCACAAGCAGCTGTTCAGTACTGCTGACCTGCCCAACGCAACGGAACATAACTCTACAATGACAACTTTAGTATTATTATTATTATTAAAATTAGACTAATTATAATGCACAGATGAACAGGCAGTTTATAGAAGGAAAAAAGAAAGACTACAATGACAGCTAGATGAAGAAAACCAGGATATTTTCTCAGGTTTCCCAGATTTTGCCAACAGAGCCCAAAGGAAATCGTCATCCGCATGTTTCCAAACGTTTTCCAGTTTTGTGACGTAAGCGTGAACAGAGACCACTGCCAAACTCTCCTGAACTAAAGGTGCTGTTAATTTGAAACGCTTCAAAGCTTCATGACATCACAAGGTGGAACAGAGACTTTTGAGCTTTGGAGATGTAGACAGACTAATAATACTCAAAGATATGAGAAGAAGAGACTGACATTTGGTGACCTGGTAAAATTTAAAACAGGCCAAATCTTATTTAAAGTGAAACTCAACCTGCTTCCAGAAAACATTCAAAAATTGTTCTGCACAAATGAACTCAAATATAACCTGAGAAGTGACGTGAATTTTACAAAACAATTCTCTAGAACGACTCTGAAAAGCCTCTGAAAAGTGAGTTACAGACGTGGAGCAGACTCACGGAAGAATTTAGACGACCACTTCAACACTTGGACAAACTTGGTGCACTTCAAAAACCAATATAAAAATCAAATCTTATAGAAATACCTAGAAGACTAGACCCACTGTCTTCACAAGTAAATTACGACTATTAACTAAACACATGCTTTTCTTTAACATTTTCTTTAACATTAACTTTTTATTTTGATACGATCATAAACGATACATTTTGTGCTGCCTTTGTCATTATTATTAGTTTGTACGACTACAAATGAAAAACCAAAAAAAAAAAACTTACATATTTTTCGGAGTATAAGTCGCTCCAGCCAAAAAAAAAAAAACAAAACATAACTTTTTGGGGGAAATTTATTTTATAAAATCAGAAACCAGGAACCGACATTTCCTGCTTAAAGTCAAGTTCTAGTTAGTCCATCCATCCAGTGACTTCAGGAAAGTTTCATGGTGCATCCTCCTGGTTACCGTAAAGTTGTGTTCTTGATCCCCGCTTTCCTCCAGTCCCTCACAAGTTTCTCGCTCACTCCAAACTTTCTTTCTGCTGCTCGATTACAGTTTTCGTCTGAATATTTCAAGACTTGCAGCAGGACAGAGGCTCTTTCTGCAGCATTTTACTGTGAACAATATATAAGTGCGACTTATAATATTTAAGGCGCAGGAAACACCCAAACCATGAAAAAAAGTGCCACTTATAGTCTGAAAAATACGGTACATTTTTTAATTCTCATTGAGCTTTATTTTATACGATCAAAAACGATAAACCTGTGTGCATTTTTTTATCATTACTATTAGTTTGTACGACCATAATACAGCACAAAACAAACAAAAAAAGAAAGAAATTGGGTTAAAATTATATTTATTTTGCATAGTCTGTCATTTTTTTTGCTCTGTGTATGTTTCATCACTACATAATTTTTGTATTTTTGAAACTATGTGATGAACAGACGTGGGTTAATTTAAGTTTTTTTCTTTTTCCCGCTCGTTTTCTCTCTTGGCACAAACTCAAAACAAAATGAATGAATGAATCAAACACAAAACACAACTCCAGGTCTGTTTTTGAGGAGGGAACAACATTAAAACACGACTTGAAGCTCACAAGAGTCAGTTTTGTGTGTAAAATAAGATCTTTAACAATCACATTTTGAGTAATACAATGAAAATCTGAACATGTTTTTGTGTTTTCTCTTGTTTACAGGATATGTGACGGAGTCCAGTTTGGAGCTGGGATCCGCTTCCTCTGATCCTCCTTTTCTTCATCTCCTCCTCCTCTTCCTCCTCACATCTCTCTGGAAACAGGATAATCTTCCACCAGAAACTTCACGGCTCCTCGTCCTCCTCTTCGTCCTCGTTCCTTTTCCTCCTGGACTCACGTTTGATTTTTGCACCACTTTTGGACCAGAGCGAAATCATAACTACAACTTACAACAAAATCGACGTGTTTTTATTTTAAAGTTCACCGTGTAACTTTTCTGGCGGCGCTTGTCTCTGTAAAGAAGCCATTGCTTTACCCGGAATGTTCCGCAGCACGGCATTTATTCCGTCACGGGGTGTTTGTAACGGCGAAAAAAAATAAATCTTAAGAACGTGTTTGTTATTGCTGTGAGTGGGCTCGCCTCTCCGCGGATCCGACCGGGAACCGTGCCCCCTGGCTTCAAAGGTACGTATCTGAATAAATAAATAAATGTTTCCGGAACCTTCACGTCGCCATGGAAACGAGCGGGGGAGAACGGGTGACCAGGTGACTCCAGAAAAGTTACACAGCGACGAACTTTTAACCCTCGAGCGGCTTCAGCTGTTCGCGTCGTAAAAAAAAAGATGCGCGACGTAAATTTTCCCGCTTGCTGCCACTGCCTTGTCTAGAATGTTCCGCAGTACGGCATTTAACACACGGATCTTGCGTTTGTTTGATTTCGGACGCGTTTGTCGCTCGGAAACACCTTGAAATGTGCGTTCTGACTGTAACTTTGCTTAGTGTCTAGGCGAAAATAGGTCAGTTTAATGCCAGACTGTGGAAAATCCCCAAAAAAAGCGATAACATCTCCACGGAGACAAGATGCTGACCTTAACTTCTACCAAAAATGTTACCCAGTGCATCATTAAATGGGCCAGTATCACACAAAACCGACTCTTGAGAGCTTTAAGTCGTGTTCTGATGTTGTGTGTAGAACATTTTAGTCGTCCAGGTCCAAATTGTCAACTGGACAAACGTTTATTCGGGTCAAAAACGTCCTGAATGGGCTTTCAGTAGAACAAAGAGAGCTAAAAAACAAGACGACAGAAGCAGAACTCAGGAGAAACGGCGCAACTACCGTATTTTCTGCACTATAGGGGCTCTGGATTATAAAGCGCACTGTCATTGAATGGTCTATTTTTGCAAACTTTTTTCACATTTAAACCAGACTTTAAACTAAACACAACAGTTCGATAAGTCAGTCAAACTTTATTTAACGCGTTCACAATAACTCTCAACTTTGTTCAATTCAATTCAGTTCAAAAAAATTGTTCGTGTATTCACAATAAGTCATAATAGTTCAAACAGTTGGGTGATTCCGGCGTCCACACGTCCACATCCCTCTCGTCATGATCCGAGTCAGTGTGGTTACTGTTCCCTGGAGTTCAGTTCAGTGATGATTCTGGTCTTGGTGAAAGCTCGGACCACAGTTGATACTGATCTTTAGCCCGGGCGTCCACGATCCGTCGGCAGATCGTGGCGTAAGTCGCTCGCCGCCGTCTCTCTGTCTTGGTGAATGTGTGTTCTCCTTCTCTCATCCACTGCTCCCACGCAGCTAAACGCACTTTCACTTTAGAACAGCCTTGAGTTTAAAGTGGGCGTTGTGAGCGTGTCTCTTGACAGGTGCATTCTGATATTAAAAGGAATCACAGTCTGTTTTACTCCTGATGCTCCTGATTACGGGAGCCGTAACGCTGCAAGTGGAGCGGCTTTGTAGTTTACTAAAGTCGTACTAACACACCACAATAAATTCATATATACGGCGCACACTTGATTTAAGGTCCGGAGGTAAACAGAGCGCCGCTTCCTCTTCTGTGTCGCTGTCGTCAGACTCAGCATCAGTTCCAGTTACAATTATTCGGGTCTTTCTGAATCCCGACAGGATGGTTTCGGTCGTCTTTATATGTTTGTTTAAATGTTAAATTGTTCAGTGGTGCAGAAGTAACGGTGTGATCGACTGACATGATACAGACAGGACAGAGGCTCTTTCTGCAGGAGACATGCGCAGTAGAGAGCGAAGTGACAGTGGTACAGACGCACACAAGCCTAGAGCTCCCCCTCGTGGCTGTCAGTGTGAAAATTTGAACATGTAAGTCGCAGGAAACACCCAAACCATGAAAAAAAAGTGCCAGTTATAGTCCGAAAAATACGGTAAAAGACAGAGAACCACACAACTCATCCGTCTCTTCCATTTACAACTCTATCTTCAAACCTCAAACTAAAACAATCTGGGTCTGAATGATTCTTTTAATATGACCCCACACTCACAGACGAACAGGCCGAGCTACAAACAAAAACTGTAAACAAGTAGGCGTGTTAGTTTCAGAGTAGTTTCAGTGTAGTTAGCTCCTCCCTGTGTTTAACCAGAACTGAAGAACCACGTTTTCGATCAAAATAAACGTTTATCTAGTCGACAAATTGAATTTCTGCTCTGCCATGTTCTAACGCTGTTTCCTCCTCAAAAACAAACCTGGAGTTGTTTTATTTCATTCACATGTTTGGTTAACTCTTTATTATTCGTCTGTCCACATTTCCCAAGCTCAAAACGCTCTGTTCCACCTTGTGACGTCACAGATTTCAAGTTAACCTCCACCTCTTACCACTACAGTTCCCTATTGCAGAGATTGGGCTGAAATCGACAAAAGTGAAGTTGTACGAGGTTTAAAAACACAGTGGAGCACTTCCTGTATTACCACTTAATGACGTCACAAGGTGGAGCAGTTTGAGGGAAGAACTCCTAAACCTAAACGTGCAGGGTTTGTGTGCTAAACGTGTGTGAGTGAAACAAAACAAAACACGACTCCGGGTTTGTTCGTGACGACGAAACGACGTTTAGAACAAATGAGAAAAGTGTGATACGGGCCTTTTAATTTAGATTTTTCGATCAAAACCCGTAACCTTGAGATGTTGTGGAGGTGCGAGGAGCTTAAGTCCGCGGTTTGGAGCATGATCTTCTAAACTTCACTTGTGTTTTAAATGTGTTTGAAATGAAGCGTCGAGAAACAGAGCAGAGGAACCAGCACTTTTCCTGTAGATTTAAAGGGCCAGTACCGGATTTCAAACCGTCAACATTTCTAGCCCCTGCCCACTTTGTCAGTTTTTTTATTTTTTTATTTAAAGGGTTTGTATTACGTTTTATTTCTGATCTAAGTTCTAATATCGTTTCCTCGTCACAAACAACCCTGGAGTTGTGTTTTTTTTGTTTCATTCACACACGTTTAACACACAAACTTCTTCTCTTTTCCAACTTGTGATGTCATTAAGTGGTAATACAGGAAGCGCTCCACTGTGTTTTTAAACTCCATGCACCTTCACTACAGTCGTTCGTATCATTTCAGCCCCGGAACGCTCTTCATGACATCACGAGTTGGAACAGCTTACACAAACTCCAACAAAACACAACTCCAGGTCTGTTTTTGAGTCAGTTTTGCGTAACAAAGGACCTTAAACAGTTTTCTCCATAAATTACATGAGATAAACGTTATTTATTTTGTTTAGAACACGTTAAAAATCAGGTACAGGCCCTTTAACTTACACAAAAACTCCAGGTTGTGTTAAACGGTGATTTTTGGGGCAGAGTGGAGCCGTTTCTCCACCGCTCTGATCTTTACAGTCTGTGGCTCTTTACAGTCTGTGGCTCTTTACAGTCTGTGGCTCTTTACAGTCTGTGGCTCTTTCTCACTTTTTCATGTTGTGAAAAGTTTGACTCACGATTAAATAAAGCTGCTCTCCTAATGTCACTCATCTGTGCTTTTTAAAAATGTGTCGTGTTTGTGTATTTTTAATAGACAACAGACTCGGCCTCTGTTGTTGATGCCGCCCCGAATCCGGAGGTGGACACTGGAAGTAAGTGATACCGTCAGGTTGAAGGAGGAGTCCTGTCGGGCCTTATTGGCTCTTGGGACTCCTGATGCAGCTGACGGGTGCTGACAGGTACCGACAGGCCAAACGTGCTGCAGCCTGTGCGGTCGCAGAGGCGCATCAGCCCAGGAAAAAGGTGGCTGTCCTGTTCGGGTGGAGAGTCCCTGCCTCAAGATGAGGAGTGACATTATTTTGGGTTATGACCAAAAGGACAAGATCGCAGATACAAGCGCTCGAACTGTGGCTGAGTGGCTGGGCCTTAGAGTTCGGGCGAGGAGCTCAGTCACACAGGAGGAGCTCAGTCACACAGGAGGAGCTCGGAGTAGAGCCACTGCTCCTCCACGTGGAGAGGAGCGGCTGAGGCTCGGGCATCTGTTCTGATGTCTCCTGGGCGTCTCCCTCGGGAGGTGTTCATGTTCCACTGGGAGGAGGCCCCTGGGAAGACCCAGGACACACTGGAGGGACTATGTCTCTGGACTGGACTGGGAACACCTCAGGTCCCACTGGAGGAGCTGGGGGAAGTATCTGGGGTGAAGGAAGTCTGGGAATCTGCTTACACTTCTGAGCCCACGACCTGGCCCCGGATAAGAGGAAGAAGATGGATGGATGGTGGATTGTATATTTTTTGGATCAACAGCTGGTAAATGATCGTTATTATTTTAGTATTTAGTTTGGTTTTGTTCTGGTCTTGGTCTGGTCTGGTCTTGGTCCGGTCCTGGTTTGGTCCTGACACAAACGTTCAGGTGAGGTTTGAACTGTTGGTCATGTAGGATGTAAACACACCTGCCTCCTCTGCACATGTCCTGCTCCTGTCACTGGGGGCAGGGGCCGTTTCCATGGAGACCAGGGTCTGTGGGGGTCACCAGAATTAAATCACAATTTTTAAAATTTTTGCACAAAATGATCACTAATCACTGGCGGACAATTTTTTTTTTCCATGGGGCCACATGAGAAACAGAAAATATTGTGGAGGCCAAAATGTTTAACTCAATTCTGCAGAATATTTATTATATTTGTTTATAAAGAGCAGGAAATCTCATTTGTCGAGCTGCTCAGACTGGGAAGAGTTTATGTTCTGACTAAACAATGAAAAAGTGAAGCTGCTGAACAAAGTGTCATTTAAAAAAAACACATCTAAAATAAACACAATGCAGCTTTAGTCCATGCATGATTTAAAATTATAAAATAAGTTTATTTTGTAATTCTAGATAAGCTTAAACGGGACGGTTAAAGTCAAGCAAAGGGCTGATATAAAATAATAAAATTAAATAATAAAAAGAGCTGGTGTTTTTCACTTTTTCACATTTGCATTTTAATCACGCTTTTCTTTTCTTTTATCTCCGTGTTTTATTTAAAGTCTTGTAAAAAAAAAAACTTTCCTTTACGTCCGAATAACGGAGTGTTCCATATTTTCCAACCGGTTACGTCACAGCGCACGCGCCTGTCCACGGCCTCCTGAGGAATTCCCACACGTGCCCGCGCGTGGAGGCGGACCTAACCCCGCCGTGACCGCGCACGCACAGCCCCCCCAGAGCCTCTTACGCACGGCGTGTTATCCACATTAAGCCGAGTGTGAGTCCGGCGCTCGTCTCTCCTCCAGCCCCGCTCGCAGAGGCAGGTGTGCGGCTGCAGCGCTCCCTCCGCTCCGGGACGAACCTCCACCGGCCTTGGATCTCTCTCAGCACCGACTTCATCCGCATCACAACGCGACAAGATGCTGTGGACCGCGGGGAACATCGTCAGGAAATTCTCCACCACGTCTGTAAGCATTTGAAGAGCAGCTCCGCGTTCTGCATCCCACTTAACGATGGTCACTTTTGGGGGGGGCACGGACATTGACACGTTTACGCGCAGGTGCATTTGTTTCTCTCTCCTCACCTCTTGGCGCGGTCGTGGCGGTTGTTTTAAGGGTCCGTTCCATCCTCTGTCCCCGCACATGCCTCACGCAAACACCGGCTTCGGCGCTGGCTTCACGACTTGGCGGAGTTGCGTCAGCGCGCACTGTACTCCGCTATGCTCAGTCTCTTCATTCATTCATCGCCTCACACACACACACACACGCACGCCAAACTACAAAACCTCTCCTTTAAAAGCACAGATTACGTTCGCACCGACACACACGAGGCACATTAGTTCACATTTGCAGCGTGTGCGTTTGGACATGACTCTCAGAACGCTCAGAAAACGCGTTTTTTGGTGCCACATTTCTGCCCCAACTCGCACATTTTGACAGCCCCATTCATTGGAGAAACTTGACGCGTGCAGCATGTGTCCGCGCGTCGCGTGCGCGTGTCACGGGGGACTTGGGCTTCGCCGTGCACTTGAACTTTAACTCCGCAGATACAGTTTCTGGCCGTATTAATAGATTTACTAGCTCGTGTATTGTTGATCGGGCGCAGTTAAGGTGGAAGTGCGGGGTTCAGGGGGGGAGCGCCGGGTTGGGAGGAGGAGGGGGGCCTTAAAAAGTCACTGGTTATGTAACAGGTTCTCTACAGTGGCCCCACAATGCGGTCGAGCAACTTTCTAAACTCCTTTCAGTGCAGTAGCAGTAGCAGTAGTAGTAGTAGTTGTAGTTGTAGTTGTAGTAGTAGTGACTATGTAATATTTTGTGTGGTAATTTTAACATAATATCTTGGTTGGATTAGAAATGAAGCCCTAAATTATTTTATTTATACCATATTTTAAACATTAAAGGGACATGCAACAAGTGTTAGTTTATTACTCTTTATTGACTCTGTAATAACTGTGTAATAACTTATGTGTGATTAGTTGAGAAGGATGATCAGAAGGTTCAGGGTGGGGGCAGGTGGGAGGGCAGGGGCAGTAAATGAAGACAAATTAGGACCCGGCCGATATGATATCGATAAAATGGGAGTTGGAGCTGCCGATAGCCGATAGCCGATATAATCGCCGATATATTAATGATGTATTTTTATTTTACTTATTTATTTAATAGGGACAGTTCATATTAGGGATGGGCATGATTAGTCGATTAATCGATAATTGATCTTTAAGAATTTCATCAATTACGTTCATTTTAATCGACAAACCAAATGCAGGTTGCTGTGTGTGTCGTGACCAAACAGGTGTGTACATGTGTCTCTGCATCAGAAGGAGCGAGACACAAACAGTGGGTCAGTCTGTAACGAACTGAAGCACAAATGTGGATTTAACCAGGATTTGTACAAGAAATTCCACACTTTCCGTTGCGTTGGGACAAGTGTGAGTCCATGTGCACAGTGGATAAAGCAGCACATATGTTTCTGTGTCCAGTGGGAAAAAGTTTTTCCAGGTGAGAGTCGCTCAATGTGGATGACGAGGCCCCGCCCCCCTCCCCCCGTACGCTGTCCTGGTTTTGACAAACACAAATCTGGTCACACTGACCTGTATTCACCTGAGTCATGTCTTTTAATCCAACACAAGTTGAACCACATCAGCGACACAAGAGCTGGAGTTTTATCTTCACTTAGTTTATGTAAATTAGTGATGTGGTTTTAAGTTTTGTTTCTGTGAGATTTGCACAAAACTGAATTAAACACATTATAATGTCAAACAGCTGATGTGGCTCTAGAGTCGTTATGTTTATATGTCGTAAAGTTGAATTTATCTATGCAGATTAGTGCAGATAGTAATAATAATGATGATCATTTTAATATAAAAATGTTAATGATTAATCCATCGTTAATTCTTCCGACGATCGATTAAGAAAATTTCATCGAATGCCCATCACTAGTTCATATTCATGAACATCTACAACATTGCAGTGTAAATATGACAGATTATAGCAAGACTGATCATTTCCATCTGTCGTCCCTCGGCAGGAAACACCACAAACTTAAACAAAACAAAAACAAGTAACAAATATAAACACAAAGTGTCCACAAGTCTGTTTTTTCTTTAGCCACTGTTTCAAGTAGGACTTGAAAGTAAAATGTAAAAATACACTGTAAATCTTGACTCATTTGCCTTTGCAGTTTGTAGGTGGAACCGTCTTAATTAAATAACAATTTACATTCAGAAATATTCCTGTGCATAGGATAGAAATTTGGCTGTAGTTGAGCATAAAATAAATCAATCAGGACTAAACCAAAACTGAACCAGGTCTAAACCAGGACTAAAGCAGGTCTAAACCAGAACTGAACCAGGACTGAGTGTTGGGACTCGGTCTCTGTCTCTCTCCGTCTCTCGAGCCCAAGATTAGTCCTGGTTTATTTATTTTATGCTGAACTACAGACAAATATGCAGGTTTTTTCTTCCTATGCACACGCAGATTTCTGAAAGTTTTGTTTTCAGCCGCTGTCAAACTCCCACGAGTCTGAACGCGGCACGTGAAGAGAAAAAAAAGTGAGAGAAAAAGAAAACACGGCTCCCAATAAGGAACCGGCTCCCGTCATTTGATTCAAAGAGCCTCGTTCGCGACCGACCCGTCACTACTAGCTAGTAAAGAAACTACCGCTATTATCCTTTAGCTGTAAATGCTGCACGCCACAGTTATATGTGTAAATGTCGATCATTCACACCTCTATTCACAGCTCATTTACATATCAGTGCAGGTCCAGTAACAAATATACGGCCAATATATTCACTTTATAAATAGGCTGTCTGTTTATGTGTGAGAGCTACAGCAGCTAATCACTAACCAATGAGAAAAAAACAAAACTAGCTTCAAAACCGACTCTGTGGTGTGTTCAGGGACAGTACGGACACACACACAGACAAATGACTCCACAGATAAATATTGATGTGGAGCCACATATTTGGACATTTATCTGTAAACTGGATTAAATGAACAGAATGTAGAGAGTCTAAGATTTATAACGACGTATCACAGGCCCACGGGAAATATCGGCCCATATCAGCGAGATTTAGGCCGATCGTCGATATGTTTCCAAGAGTCCATATCGGCCGATAATATCGACCACGTGATATATTGGTCGGGCCCTAGTATAAATATAAGTGAAATAACCCAGAATACACAAAAGCTGCAGCAAAACCCGGGTTGGATCTTGATCTAACTGGACTGGATTTAAACCTGGTGACAGACAGTTCAGAATTTTGGACACAGGACTTCATTTCCTCGTGAGTCAGAGTGTTGGAGACGTGTGGAGACACTTTTTAAAATATTCCATCCAGTCCTTGTGTTTGCAGAGGTCACTGGTGTTAGACTAGTGTATGTCAGTGATCATAGTTCTCCTGCCACTAAAAACAGTCTGACCCACTCCACAAAACACCCGAAGAAAATCTGTTATTACACCAGACTGTCCATGTGAACGTCTGTGTAATGTGAAATACAAAACATGAAATAATTTAATATTGTCACATGAAGCTTTTTGTGTAAAATCCCTCAGTCCCACGGCAAAAGGACAAATTCAATTTGTCAACTGGACAAAAGTTAGATTTACAAAAGGGATAAAAGGCAAATATAAAAAAGTGTCCACCAACAGTTTGACCTGAACTGAAGAAGCAGCTTGGATGAGCTGAGAAATGTATTCAACCAAAACTTAAGTCCAGTTGGCAAATTGAATTTGTCCTTTTGACATAAAGCTTTTGTTACTTTAAATTCACTCACAGTGGGAAGAGAAGCACGACTTTTACTCAAGTAAGAGTACTGTTACTCTGTACTGTGTATTACTTCAGTAAAAGTAAAATCATGGAGTCTGAAAACTCCACTGAGAAGTACAGTTTATTGAAAAAATTACTCAAGTTGTGCTTGCAGATGTGGCCTGTCCCAATACCAGAGGCGGCGCTATTATTAGGCAACAGTAGGCAGCCGCCTAGGGCCCCAGAAACCTGGAAAGGCCCCCAAACACACACACAAAAACTCCCCAACAAAACATTATAGTGAGTGCATAGGGCCCTAGGGCACCTAGGGGCCTCAAATTGCTCCGCCACTGCTCGATACCAACTTATCATTCAATATTTAAAAGCAAGGAACGATTTCCTTTGGGGCTAGATATTTATCGTTTGCACAGTTTCTTTGTAAAAGTGAAGATTTGGGGTATTTTAGTTGTAAAACGATCAGATTTGAGGTGGAGACGGTTGAATAACTCACTTGTGTGTCTGTTTATTGGTGATTCTGCTGTTTCTCTGTGTTTATCTGGTTCTTCAAACTGTTTTTCTGGGATTATCCTGTGTTATTCTCACTGTATCAGAGGGATCCTGCAGTTTCAGCATTATCATTTATCACATTCATTGTCCGTAGTGATATTCTGTGAATGTTCTGTCTCTAACACGTGTCTCTCTTGTTCTGTTTCAGTCGTACTGGCAGAACAAACTGAAGCTGGCCATCATCGGGCAGAGTCTGTTTGGGCAGGAGGTTTACTCCAACCTCAGGAAACAGGGGCACAAAGTGGTCGGCGTCTTCACGGTCCCCGACAAAGATGGGAAAGCAGATCCTCTCGGTGAGTTTACGCACACAGACGGGCAAAATCAGATAACTGTGGAGTAATCAGACTACCCGATAAAGAGATCTGATTTCTGAGAGAAATCTGATCACGGTGACACCTGGTGACACCACAGACGACGTGTTTAAATAAGACAAGATAAGATAAGATAAACTTTATTGTCCCAAAAGGTTAAAAACACAGTTACATCACAGTGGACACGTTTACATAATGTTTTTTAATTGTTCTGAGTAATTGTAACTTCACGTTTATATGGAAATAATAATTCTGAATTGAGGAAAACACGTTAAATCACCTTTATTTTATTCCGCTCAACGTCGACCTGAAGAAAACACACACTTCAGCTGCTCCCGGTTTTTCTGTCATCTCCCTCAGGTCCCTCAGGTCCCTCAGTCCTCGTCTTTAAACCGTCGAGTCTGTGATTTTTAAATTAATTGTGATCATCATCAAACTCTGTAGTGCTCCATATTTTTACTGGATTTAAAATCAAGCACATTTCAGTATTTCAGTATTTACGGTTCAAAAATGTGGCCAGACCGGTTTGTCAAAGTCTGATCCCGTCAGATCTCAGAAGCTCAGCAGGGTCGGGTCTGGGTCTGGGTCTGGGTCTGGGTCTGGACTTGGATGGAGACACTGGGAACATCAGGAGCCACAGGAGGCGCCAGAGCAAAAACTGTTGCTATGTCCTTAGGCAAGACACTTCACCCACATTGCCTAGTATGAAAGTGGTGTGTGTGTGTGTGTGTGTGTGTGTGTGTGTGTGTGTGTGTGTGTGTGTGTGTGTGTGTGTGTGTGTGTGTGTGTGTGTGTGTGTGTGATGGTGGTGGTCGAAGGGGCAGATGGTGCAGATTGTCAGCCTCGCTTCCGTCAGTCTGGCCCAGGGCAGCTGTGGCTACAGTAGCAGTTTACCACCACCGGGTCTGGAGTGAATGAATAATGTTTTGTAAAGCGTCTTTGTGTGTCCAGAAAAGCGCTGTATAAAACTGATGCATTATTATCATTATTATTATTATGTTTGGGCACTTTTTGGTTTTTCCCTGTTTTCTTTTTCGCTTTGCGGCTGCACGCGTAACAGCGCAGGACGTGAAAACATTAGGATATTTTCGGGCGCGCTTCAGGCGTAACTAACACTTTCCCACCTGCTAAATCGTTCCCCGTGATGACAGAAACCCCCGCTACTGGGAAGCCAGGGCGCACCCCAACAACTGCGTCCCCGGACCACAAATCTGACTGAATCACGATCTTGTGCAGAGGTACACCGATGTCCTGCATATTAAAACTGCGCACAGGGACATTAGAACCAACAGCAGTGTCACCTGACAGAGGCAACACGCCCTCAAGAACAAACGACTGGGACGCTGCTGGGTCCCTTCATATTTTCTCTGGGACCTTTTCACCGTTAGCGGAAACGGCCACAAACCCGTCC